GCCTAGCCCATTGTCCTTTCCTTCACCGACTCTGTTCTCCAAATTAGTCTGTCTCGCCTTTTTGTCTCTTTAATTTCGACTTTCTGCACTGTATTTACATTTCTGTACTTATACACTATAACGTGTCATACTTTTTAGTTTGTCAAAATTTTTATAACAAAACTTCACACAGTTCTCGGCACATTTATTAGCATTTTTTGATTGAAGACATTTGAACCCATTAATACAAAAACAGGCTACTCGAATGGCAGTACACATCTTGTGTAGCTGCTCTTAAAACGAAACTTGCTGTCAAATCTACAGGGAAGTCCATTCCAATGGTGACTGGGAACCAACGACTGCTGGGAACACATAGCCATCTCTACACCTAATTGAGCATCGGACGAAATTTCATTTGTTGGGTTGCGGTCGATCACAATAGCTGTGTTGTTAAATAGGGACAGCAGGGTAAGATTTACAGACACAAACAAGGATGCAAAATGACAGCTGTGAAAAGCAATGCCTAGAGTTTGGCAGGGAATGTAGATACCAAGCTTTGGTTCTTGTGTACCAGTTGTTATGTATTTGGGGTGACAACAGAAATGCCGATTTGTCCGTGCGCAGTGTCGGATTTGTAATTAGGCAATGTACTCTTAGGCAATTCGGCAAGGTTTATGGCTTGTTCAAGAATTTTACCAAATCAAAGGTTTACTAAACTGATATTTATTCATTTTATCAATCGGCTTAATAATTCTGGTTGCAAATTTATTTTGTTAACAAGATTGAAAACTGAATGACGTTTTATCACAGCCTTGGGTTTTCCAAAAATGTTTTTAAATTCAACTTACTATCCAATCTATTTGAGTTATTAGCGTGCGTTCATTGCCTGCAACTAAAATTTTTTATTTTACACATAAATATACCATAGTGTCTTTAACATAACATTTCAAATATATACCTATTTAACGTCTGAATTCAGTTCGTGAGCTGTAGCGACGTCATTATTCAATGGTCCTCACAAATGAAATAGCTTGGGGGCCTCGTATGCGACCTGGCCGTGCATTTCTCGCCTGCAATGTTGATTGAGGCCAGACTTGAAGCAGCAGCACCAAATAGGGCGTCAATACAATGTGTATCAGTGGTTTTTCAAGTATGCACACTCACAGAGCCAAGACCCAAGACTTTTCGATCTCCGTCCTAGGATAGATACTCTTATTCCCAGTCGTTTTGTGTCCCTAGCTGTGCCATCTAAAAGCGGTTGCACCGATTTTGTTGAATTTTTTCACGTGGGTTATCGTGTCAGCCAAGTATTATGAGCAGCGCCTGTTCATGGCCTTTAGGGGCCCTATATATAAAATATAGTAATAGGAATGTAACTGGTGTTCGGTGTTATCTGAAATTTGAAGTAAGTTTCAGTATTGATTACTGATTGAAGGCCAAATTATGATTAATTTACATTTTTTTTAAAATAGTTCTCATGCTTATAAATATTTAGGATGGTACTTGAGAAAGAAAAACAAGCAAAATTTAATTCAACGAGCCAATATTGATGTCTGAATTGTCTGGCCAATTAGTCCATTCATTTCATTAAACGCTGGAGCACTATTGCAAAATCGGCTATGAAAACTTTTGTAGTCCTTCTTTTTTTGGTGTCCCAAGCACGTGCTCTTTTGGTTAAATCATTCTTAATGGTTAAATTAGGCCTGACTACAGCATGTTTGCTTTATTATACGCCTATAAATCTGTCAGCGTAATAGAGCAAGACTAAATAGAGTTAGTCTCACCTTGTAACCAAGACTAATACCTTCAGTGAAATCGAATATTAACAGTATCGAAGTTACGATGAAATGCTATTTAAACGTCAAACGACTTGCGCTTTTTAGCAGTATTAAAAAGCCTCACGCATTTAGGTAGCATTTCACCGTAACTTCAATAAAGTAACGGTGGAATTCTATTCAAACGTTGAACGACTGGCCATTACAGTATTACTTACAGCACTCCTATTGCTTTAGTAAAGCCACGCCACACAAACACGCGTATGTCTTCTCACTTTAAATTAATTTCTGGGAAATAGATGTTTCAGAAAAGTGATTGTTTTATATTAGTCATTTTATTTTGCGGGCATAAAAATACTGCATGCCGTTTAGTTTTTGAGCATATCCTTGTGTCGCGAGATTTTACAAAAATTTACATTTATAAAAAATTGGGTCCTTTTTAAAAGAGGTTGGGAACCACTGGTACTATGGACGAAGTGTCAACAGCCATTGTGAAGACGGAATTTTACAACATCAAAACATGAACAGCGCAACTTGGTCAGATAGTCTGCGAAGTTCGTCTTTTTCTGAAGCCTTTCATTGGTATTGCGTCGAAGTAGGTTCGGTCCTAAAATACTAAAAAATGAGCAAAAGAATGGGTCAGATATTTTTGACTTGTCCAAAGTATCCTCTGGTGCATAATATGTAATTGAGATGAGTAAACTATTTGAGATTAGTCAACTGATCGCGAATATAAATTTCATTCACGTTGGGCAAAGTCACGCGTGCTAATCGTAGCTTTCATCTCCAATTCTCGCCTCAGCTTTTGTGTCGCGTGTTTCGAAGGTTTAATATCGCGCGGATTCGGTGGTTTTGCTATTATCTAGGATCGCGTAGGTCCTGGTTGTTATTATGAAGTCACCGACGCCTTCCTATTTCCTGCTTTAAAACATTCTCAATTTTGTGCTGTTTGTTGTTATCCAGTCCATCTCACTAAAACAAATGCGTGTAGTAAGCATATTTCATATAAACGAAATTTTTAATTCAGGTCCTAAATCACTGGTTTAAATATGAATTGATATATATGATCGGGTTGAACATGGACAAATTTTTAGCTTCACAGTAGTCAGTTTGAAAAAGAAATAAGAAGTTGAAAGTTTTAGTTAAAATACACGAACCTGGTGATGGATGAAGCCACAACTAGAGCGTACCTTATCTTCCTGCGACCAGGGTCCGGTGCAGTGGTCGTCTGCCAGGATATCATATCGCTTGGTTCAAAAACGAGTAAGAGAGAACCACCGACGCTACCCGATATTCGCTATGATCGCTGCACTTTTCCTAAATGTCAATAAATTGATTGTAATCGTGGTATGGCATTTCTACTGACATTTTTGTTTCATAGCCGTTGATATTTTTGATTTATGTTCAGTTTGTGTGCAAATACTTCAGTTTCTTACGACATATTGTTTCCTTTTTACCTGTGATAAATGGATCTGAAGTCAGTTTGTATTTGACATCCAGTTATGTTCTATCCATAGATTACGTCTAGCATTTGATATATATACAGTATAACTTTCCTGGACTAGTCATGGTATAATTGCCATAATGACTACCGAAACACAAAAAAATAGGAAGAGATATTGTGCATTATTCTCCACAAATACTATATCAAACCAGTATAAATGACTCGTACAGGACTATATCGTCTAACTGGTAACGATTTTAAGTACTAAATAGAATTCAACAAAATGACCATTTACATACTTCGAACACAAAAGCACGATCGCGCGACGGGTATATCTGACAATCAGGGTATGCAGATTAGGTAATTAGGTATACCGTAGTTGCGGTGGCTTCGTGTAAGCATGCTATTTTCCATTGAAAATATTTAGACGTATTAGGTAAAATGTTCATATTTATCATAACAATGATAGTATTTCCAGCAATATATATGTAATAACAATAAATAAAACATCGATCACATATTTGATAGCCCCGCTATTTTAGCATGTCCTTACAAGTCCACCTCATTCTTTTGTGACTCATAAATGTCGTACGTAAGCACATGATAAGTTTATTAATCTACTCGCCATAGCTTAGGCCATTCAACTACGAGTTGGATTAATATTATGATTGCCCACTTATTGAAATCCCTAAATTGTCATTGGTTACGCTAGCACAATCGATTGCTTACTCGAGCGGATCTAGAAATGCCGGTTGCGCGCATGCGTGGCGTCCCTGGTTTCACGAAATTGTCGTGAATGAGATAAAAAGGATAGGAAAGAATAGGCTCCGCTCGTATCGCTTTAGGTGAACCACTTTCTGTGGTGTAATTTTACATCGCTCTCGCCTTACATGGAAGCCTATTGAACACTATGTTGACATCTCTTTACTATGCGCACGATTAAAAGGACGCTAAAAAGAAACAATGCATTCCTCTCTTTAAACGCCGCCTTTTACTATTGATTGTTTGATAACTCGGGCGAAATCGTCTGAAATGGAGTGGGATCGCTGGAAGATTTTTCGCAATAGAGGTATATTGCACCTCCATACGACTTGACAGTATTTATGCCTGCTTTTTCCGTGAAGGTCGCATTGCCCTTCAGATCATAGTACAATCCGACTGTCATATTTTTAGTATTGTTGATCGTCGAAATATGATATCTGTAAGACAATGCACAACATCGCTCCCATATTAACTTATGAACTTTGGGACGATTACAATGCTTAAATATATTCTGGGTGATATATTATTACAAATAGTGCAGATTATACAGGCAGACTCATTAATTCCACAGGTCTGCAGGTGTTCTCTCTTTAGGTCCTTTGTGACAAATAAAATTTCAGGTGATTTTGAAAGATCTGTTTTTAAAAACTAGAATGGAGTGACTCATCATTCAGAGATTTACATAAAGGCAAGCAGGTGCATGGTTTGTTGTATATTATTTTCCAAAATGGAAGGCAATCGTGGTGTGGTGGAACAGTGGAAAGTTTGCAAGTTGAGCATTAACACACTAGTTTTGTGTATAAAAATAAATTTACGTATTTAGGAAAAGTATCAAGATCTATCTAATATTTGTAATAACCATTTGTGAAATTGCAAAGACAAAATTTTGAAGGTTTGATTTTGCATTAGCTTTTCAAACCAATTCCTTCATTTAAGTCTTTGATTTTTTCATAATCAAAAAAAAAAGTATCAGCAAAGATTAGTGGTAGGTTTTTGCAAAAGTGTATTCAAATTTTCAATTAATTTTTATTAGTTTACAGTTGGTGATAGTTTAGCAGACGTGGGGACTCCTTTCACATTTCATTTTCTACTTACTTTTCACTCATTTTTGACTTGCTGAAAGTTGCGACCTGTTTTCTTCATAATGTCGGACACGATTAGGCGATTAGCCAATGGATCTTCTTACACAGTTTTGCAGGAAAAACTGGACAACTTAAGAAGAAACTATAACGTTAGTATTCAATTTCTTATTTCAAATACTATTAATTGTTCCCTAATTTTACAAATTTTGATCAATTTTTACACATTTCAGTTGAACACATGTGATTCTAACTTGGGGCGAATATGCGAGCTTATCGAGTTGACATCAAAAGTGCAGGGACAGCTTTTTACTGCAATGAGTCTGACTGCTTCAGAAGGTGGCACTTATGGTGGAGTTGATACTTTAAAAAGTAGACTGTTGCCTTGGCTTGGAAGTGGATTCACTGCATCGAGCGCTGGTGTGACTTCTGACACAAGTCTGTCATTGTTGCAGGTAAAAATTTGTGATTAATTTTGTTGTAGGCGATGAAATCAGTAACACTTCACCCAGATATTTGTTTTTTTATTCTCATCTTGCTAATTGAATTTGAAACAGCGATTTTTAGTATTTTTTGAATACTGCATACTATTCCAGCCCTTCTTATCTTAAAATCCTAAATTTATCAGGGTTTTTGTCCATGTACTTTTTCGAGCTTTATGTATAAATTAGCAGCACTCCTTTATCTGTGATTATCAATTCCAGCAGTTATAGTTATAAAAGTTAATACACACATAGTTTCATGAATCAAAATTTTTTTCTATTGTTACTCATGCATCAATATATAAATTTACGTCAAACGACCATGATTTTTTTATGAAACTATCTTTGTCAGCAACAATGATGTTTATCTACTTTCAACCCTTTTAAGGCTAAATTTCATCACTCTGTAAATAGTAAGGACGCGGTAAATCGCAAATCACTTTACAGACGTCTTAGTCAGATGGCATATTTCCTACCGACAATATTTACTTTTCTTTGGAAGTGAGACGTGGCGTGTAACAATTTAACAAAACCACTGGTCTACTTTATTTACTCAGGACAAAGTTTGTAGCTTTGCATTACTATACTGTCAATATTTGGTCAAAATTGTACAAGCTCATTATCAATTGAGCCGACGTCATTCTATAAAGCATTTTTATGTAATTGTGAATAATAATGCTGGGAATTTATATATGAACTATTGTTGAACAATGGGATAAAATGTGATATAGGCCTATATATTAAAAATAATCTTTTTTTTTGTCTATTATTTTATTGCGCAATCTCAAGTTGCTGCATGACAGTCCCCATGCTTCATTTTTTTTTCAATTTTTACTCAAGAGTTTATTTTAACTTCTATTTTGTGTATAATTCTAGGAATCTGTGGAAAAAGATCGCAAGATTGCGCAACTTGAAGCTGAATTGAGACTCTCGAAAGACGACTTGGACAACACTGTGGATAAGTAAGTACTGCCGTGATTATTTTTTGATAGTAATTTTAATTAATACTGGTTTCAATGAATAGAGTTTGCAATAGTTTAAAATAATGAAAACACCAGTTTAGCAAACTGGAATTTCTCACATTTGATTGTCAATGTACTTTCTATTATATTATGTGTCAAATCAAAGATTATACATCTAGGATTCACATCTCATACACCCCACCCAGGGTGCAATAAAATGCGAAAGCAAATAAAAGTAGTTCTTTATATATTATTAGATATCAGTGGATGCTGATGTAGGGCCTTTTTGAGAGCAGAATGCATTAATATAAAATCACCAGACATTCAATCTTGCAGAGTTAGTGAAGAAGGAAATATTCAATTTTGTAAATTTCATTGATTCAAGTCTGTTTCAGATATTCTGTATCAATATGAATAAAAAACTCCTGCATTTGTTGATATTTTGAATCTGTGTTTTCATTTTTTGTTTTGAATTTAACCCACTTAGTTGGCATGTGCATGTTGTTTACTAACCAGATTAAATTCAAGTGAAGCCGAACTTGAACAAACAAAAGTAGAATCCGGAGGAACTTTACTTGCGACGGAAGAAGAAATAGTTAATCTGAGAGCTGAGTATGTTTATTTATTTTGATTTGATTTGTAGTGTTTTTTTAACAAATGTATAAATATGATGTAGTGAATTTTTATCTTACAAAATTATTTTGCAATATTTGCTTTATAGGAAGGATCATTTTGGACAGAGTGCAATTCTACTCTTTCATACTCTAAATGTGTCACCCAATTATTCATATTTTATTTTTTTTGTCAGTCTCCGTCTATCCAGAGAGGAATCAAAGAAATACAAACGACAAGTTGATGAATTAGGTGACTTTGAGAGACAAGTTCGATTTCTTCGTGATGAAATTTCAAACTTGAGGGGTGAAAAGGAAATCCTACAAAACAGGTTATTTTTTAAAAAGTACTTATTAATTTGGTATAAAATGGGTCAGGCTAGATTTTATTGACTTTAAATAATTGCAACATCGGATATTTTTGTTTACACAACTTTTATAGAAAAGCACCCTCCAAAAGTAGTACATGAGATAAAACACCAGTGTTTGATGATATTACAAAAACATTATTTTATCACCACAGTATTTTCATGTTGTGTTCGACCTGTCCAATATTAAATAAGCAAGCATTGTGCTGTTTTTCCCATATCAATGATACTTTTTGCAATTTAAAGTACAATTTCTTTATTTGTTTTTAGTTTACGCAGAGCAAGAAGTGTTAGCCCATCAAGAGCAAGATCACCAAGGTAAAAATAACAATTACGAACAATGACTTTTTTTTCTATTGAAGCGGACAAAAGTCCTAACCAGCTAATTCTGACTCGCAACAAAGTCAAAATAACAGAAGTAAAACTAGTTTCTTTTGTTCTGGTGGAGCCATGAAATTTGGGCTTCTATTCAAGTAAATTTCCATCATTATTTCATTATGATCAATCAATCATGGGTCATACATGATTTAATGTTAAATACATAATTATATTAGGTCTCCAATATACCATGCATGATTGACTATACTAAAGAAATATTCAAGTATGCCCTTTGTGTCCTTTACTTATAATACAAAGGAAGTTTGAGTTTTATTGGTATAAAGATGATTGATTTTATAACTGAGTTAAGTAAACACGTATTCATTGAATTATACGTACTTTCATCTACTGTAGTTTTTTATTTACCTACGAGGAAAGTCGTAATCCAACTAATGTTGGTAAGATTTTGCTCGTCGAAGTAAACCACAAAAATTAATTTCAGTCCTTCAAGAAGAATTCCTCCCTCTCCACTCATCTCACCTACTCATGCAGAGTTGACTAATTCTATCAGACACTCAAGACTTGTAGCTAGATTCAACGACCTCTATGCTATTGATAGATTGGACATGCAGGTTTGTCATGATACAAACTATTTTAAATTGTAAAAACTAGCTGAATTTTTAATTTAAGAAAAAGGTTGAATGTTCTTGGGAGTGTTGGGACATTTCATTTCACTTCATTCGATTGTTATAAATTGCGATACCTGTTAATTTGCTTTCATACTTTATATATATTTTTTTATTTTTAATAGGATCGTCTTCGAAGATTTGTTGATGATGATGAAATGGTGAAGAGAATCCTTTTCATTGCCACATGCGAATCTTTCCATGTTGCAAAGATGGCTTACCGTTCATTCCGCCTTCGTGCTCGCAGACTCCTTTCTCCGATTCATACTGGACCAGGAGAATTGGAAGATGCAGTTAATGACTACATCGTCAGAAACCTTGACTTGCATGATCTTGAGTCAAGCGTTGATGTAAGATGTTATTGTATATGTAACAGAACTAAGGGCACTGCTTGTTTTTAAAAGCCTTCACAAACTAATGAAACATTCAATTCCAAAAGAAAAACACCAAAACTACTACTGAATGTTGAATTACTTTTTCATGAATTTCCCCTTGATTGTAACAAGGCTTCTGACAAGCAGACTCTTATATACATATAATTCATAAGGATGAAAATTTATTGCGTCCTCCATTTATCTTAACCTGGGGCTCAGGAATTTGATATATTTAACTTGTGACATCAGCATAGCCTAGTGCAGGGCTACTCAACTATTTTTACCTTAGATTCGTACACAAAACTGCAAAGTTACTGGGGTCTGGTCTTTTCTGAAATTATATTTTGACATCCCCAAATGCACACTTTTTCGCGGAGCCAATGATTATTTGCTAATCAAGATAGTGCTATTTGCATTGTTTGTTATGATGTTACATTTTTTTTCTATATAGTCCAGTGCAAATATGAGCAAATTATAAAATAACTTTTAATACTGTAAAAGTTATTTAACAAAAGGTAACCGTCACATATCCAAAGTGGGCCAATGATCCAAAATAATATATTGGTTGCGGGTCCGAATCGAATACTTGGAAGGTCTGTTTCGTACCTCGATCCGCCATTTGAATAACTCTGGTCGAATACAAGTATAAAAACTATTAGGCACAGTAATTACTGTTGGCTTGCTACAATAATTTTTAATGTATTTTTGTTTTATCAGAGTGTCATTCGCTCCATGAATGTAAATCCAAAAATTTCTTTCCCACCGGAATGTGACTTCTCTCTTCTCAGCCCTTTTATTCGTGAAGTGTGTCGAGTTGCTTACGCAATGCAAGCTCTTGAACCTCCTCTTGATGTTCCTTTGGCTACTGATGGAGAACTATTTTCTGATGCCAAGTTAGTATATATACAAATAATATCAGCTCTCTACACTATGGTTTAAAATTGGACGAGATATATTTCAACAATGATCATAATGTTTAATGTTCTCTATACTGAAATTAAATATATATCATTGTAAAAATATGGTAATAATCAGGTTTATGGCAGCCAAATGTGTATGTATATATCATAACACAATAGTAGGTATTATGAGCGGTGAATGTCTGACTATTTTTTTGCATTCAGATATCGTCGCAGTTATGATAGCGAGTACAGTGCACCGCTGGTAGCTTATCATATCTGGCCAACATTGATGGAAGGTGATTGCCCTCTAATTAAAGGAGAAGCTTGCACAAGACGTGGTGCAGTAAGTGATATTTTTTATTAATTTACTTTGCCACTAAATATCATGATTCTCAATAAATTTTTAATGATGTTCAATGAATCAATATCAAACATTTCATAATAAAAAATGTAGTTTAGGACAGTGGTTTTCAACCCTTTTTTAAGTGACCCATACCTAGTCTCACGACCCAATAATATGCTCAAATACTAAACGGCATGTTGTGTTTTCATGGAGCAACCCTTCAATACTAAATATGAAATAAACATTAGAATTTATCAAAAAATTAAATTTGTGATTTTTGAGTCTTTGTTGGAAAAAAAGGGACGCAAGAAGATTTTCAGGCGACCCACTTTTGGGTCTCGACCGATAGTTCGGGAAAAACTGGTTTAAGACATAGGATTTATTCAGCTGGATTCACTATTCAACATTTAAATTATTGTCTTAATTGTAAGAGGTTTTAAAATGCTAAGCTAAAATGCTATCAATTTTTAATATACCTGAAATATTAAATTAAATTCCTAGCTATCGTCTCCCAGAAGAAGCAGATCTCCAAGCCCTCTCCGAAGTAGTTCTCGCCTGTCACGCAGCAGTCTGGTATGAGAATATATTATTGAACATGAAATGTTCATATGAATCATATTGATGAATTCTGGTTTTGTTGGGGTTATTGTTGTCTCTTCCCTCTACTATGATTAGTCTTATCGATTTTAAATTTTTAGTACTTGGAGATGGTTGAAGCTGCTAGAAAGCTATTACTTTTTTTTTCGATGCTGCTATTACGAAGTTTCGATGAGTCATAGTGGACGCCATATTTCACTCAAAATTTACTGTTTTATTATAATTCATAGGAACACTTTTTATATAATATCGGAACACTTTTTCATCAAACTTGTGGCTCAGCTACAGTTAATGTCTACCAGTACTGATGCGCAACCTTATTGTTCATGTATTCAAGCATTGCCCTCTTGTTTTATATTAAGTTTGCCAAGTGTTGTGAACAATATTCTTGAATTCTATATTCAGAGTCGAGATAGAGGCCGAAGTACATCAAGAGGAAGATATTAAAAATAGAAGAAAACTCATTCCCTGAATTATAATCAATCCAAAGTTGATCGTTGAACTAATAAAGGCGCATGTGAAAATTTGTGCCAAATTATGCCTCTCAAATAGAATATTATTTGCTATTGTTTCCAATATGCTTTTTAAATGTTATGAATGTTTAGATTTTTTTTATAGTAGTGATAGAATCAATTATTCATTCCAGTTATCAAGTATGATTTGGCAACTTATGTGAATTTGTTCAAAGGCTTTAGTTTTTTCATTATATTTTATAACTTCTATATTTAGGCTTACAGAACAAGTTTATTAGAATTATTCCACGCTGAGTGAAAAAATAAACCGAATAGTGTATTTAGGATGAACAATTTTATCATTGCTGTCTCTGGTTTTAATTATGAACTTAAAATGTTTATACCATTGCGTTATATTCAAATGAGCTACCATTCGTAGAAAAATCAAGCTAGTGCATTCAAAAAAAGAAATCTACCAAATGTTAACTTTTCAATTCAGGAAATTTTTGCCAGCATATTATGATACTTTTCAATTCTTCAATTCACATTCAAGGAATAGAAATACTTTTTATATAGTAGACTCACAAGTATGCGCACCAAGATGTCGCACAACCTGAATCCTAACCGGTACACGCATATTATGTTCAGGTTGTGCGCCATCTTGGTGCGCATATTTCTGGAGGTCCACCCTCACTCTTTTGTGAAAAGTGCACTTAGATTAGGTGTTGTTTTGTTTTACAAGTTTTTTATATTTTTTTCAAGCCTACGATACTCACTGCTCATCGTTTACCGATTGGTTTAAACAATGTACCTGACACTAACGATTCTGCACTGTATAAAGCCGTGCAATAGCTAAACCTTGTGAAGTTGCCCATTTTATGCATGTATATGTAACAGGCACATAGGTAGTAGGTATTGATAATTGATAAGTAGTCCTTGAACGAGACTGTTCACTGTAATTTTTTTTGTCCGTTCTCAATTTTTAGACGGGTCAACCGATGCTATCCCTACTGTTTGTTTTGTACTGAGGAAAACAGAATATTTCTTATATTTTTCTATGTTATTATGAATTATATGCATGTAATATAGAGTAAACTTCGCATGCTTGTACATGGGTGTGTTGATTTTGATGGTATAGTCGTGTGAAAACATGAAAATGTGAGCTGTCTTGTCTACAATCTACATCCCCAAACGCTAATGTACTGTTAAGTTTGCTGTTATAATCTGATGCTAAGGGATTCGTGAGATTAAGATAATATTCCCATCATGATCCTTGAATCGCTACAGTGGATATAATGTGTCTTGGTATTCGAGACACATTATGAGTAAGGATTTGTAGACTTCTTGCTGTTTTAGCCAGGGTGTAGGAGTAGTCATTAATTTTCATCAACAGTGTGAAATTTGCACAAGTTAAAATCCTCATTTCACTTCAGGAAAGGATAAATACATTTGAAAATTGTTTGCTGGGAATTTGTTGAAAAACACCACACAAGACGCTTGAGCAACCGACAATTTACACTCATACGTGGGTTCATTTACTAATAACAAGTATTCTGGAACACTGAGTCACTACTTTTTACATCAACAGCACCTGGGACGCTGTTTTTATGTACAGTCTCTGTTAGTCCACTTCATCTGTCGCTTCTTTTTTATATTCATCATTATTTGCATTTCCATATCGTACTTTCAACGCGGTTGACTTTTTTGTTCTTAGCATTGTTAAAATAATCAGTACGCAGATCATGACACGTTTTTCATTTAGGCTGGTGACATTTGAAATCATTTAAATGTCAAGTCTTTACATGAAACATTAGAATTGGTTGGCTGTTTACATGTCATACTTTTGCTGTTTCCTTTCTGACCAAAAGGTCCCAGTTCAAGTATGGTGATCCCGTGCAAATGCAGATTTCATTGCAAATAAGTGTGAGAGAGAGAGAATTTGTTTTTTTGTCAAACCAGAAAACATGATGCTACAATAACAAATAATAATAATAAAACAACACATATGGCAGTTTTTGGTATGTGACTGGGTGATAACGATACGACCATATACGGTCATCTGAGTCAGTTACCACCCAATGCAAATACTTAATAAACAAGAGAGCTATGCTCAAATATATGGACACGTAGCGCTACCCAGTGGCAATAATTTTGATGACGTCATAGCGAAAAAAAAGTAATAGCCTTCTGGGAAAAATTTTATCTTTAACCACTGAAAATATCAAAGCAATTGGTCCAGTATTAGAAGAGAAAAGCGATTTTTTAAAAATGAAGACGGAGACAAATAACAATAACAACAACAAAATTTTGAAACGATCGTTATGGCCACTAAACGTGTCCAATAAATTGAGACAGGTTGGCACACATCTGTATTATATACTACTACCAAAACCATAGGCACCGACATTAGCAGTACCGGTAGTGCGACCAGAGCCATTACGTATATGGCGACTTTTGAATCTACGATTTTTTTCAGTCTAGCATTGTCGCTGCTCTATACCCAGCTTTGGCTCCCCGCGCTCCAAGTAAAACTGCATGCTCATCTTTTTTCTCGTAGTTTACATATGGTTAAATTGTACTGCTAGAAAATATTAACTTGGCCGTTTGCCACTTCTACTACGGTACTTACGATAATATGCCATTCCGAAGTGAACCGAATATTAATTCCGACTCCTCGTTCAACCGTTGTCCTGGTTTTGATTTGGTAAACATTCTCTGCAGTGCTCTCCCTAACGTTGCTTTTTTAAGCTCAGTGTCTGTGAGTTACGTTTGCCTGTTTGTTGTGGTTACATATTGTGAATCTGGCTTGTTACAGTATATATACTGGGACTCAATCGGGACATTCTTGTATTAGTTAGACTGCCGATGGCCATAGCAGTATAGAGCAGGCTAAAAGTATGAAGGTACCGTATTCAGTCCGGATTCAGGTAGGCTATTGGATTTCAATGTTTATTATGGGATAGGTTATTATAATATATAGGGTAGGTTATTACGGTATGAAAGGTAATTTTTGCCACACAACATTTTGCTGCAAAGTGTCCAAACTATATGTAAATTTAAGTTATTTTGTTAATTTAATGATTCAGTAGACTATAATATGAATGTTTTATTCAGCATCCACACCCCTCAGTACGACACACTTTACAGATCGAGAGACATTGTCTCGTTTCAAAGAATCACATTTTGTCCATGAACAAACACTCCTTCTTTCGGGGATGTCTAGATATGTTGTCCCTCAATATTGGTAAAAAAAAACAGTAAAATGAGGTTGCGCAAAAAAACTACAAAGAAGCGCAATCTAAATCACCATCATTTAATTTCTCTGGAAAAATAATCGGTAATTATTTGTTGATAATACTTGGCTTCAAGGAATTTAAAATTTATACATTACCTGCAACCATGGTGAGTTTGAAAACATGACTATGGCCCCAATATAAAGAAGATGCATCAAATTCCACATCACTGGTGCACATCTTGTTTTGGCTTTAGGTTTGAGAGGTGGATTGAGAGAGTATTAAGAAAATGAAAAAAAAATCCATGATAGGATTGACAAAAATTTGATGGTTTACTTTCTAATTGCTTTGTATCAACAAAATTCAGTAATAAATTGTAAAATAAATTTGCAATCGAATGTACAAGAATAGTTTCTCTGATCTTTCAAACCAATGGAAATATTCATTAAACTAAAAATGTGCTGTTCTTGGCTCTTGGGAGTATTAAGTTTAATCTATATGCTTTATTTTCGGATCAATTTGATTATAATTCTCTTTAAGACATTTTGGAAAAATTTATAAGGCCGAATGTAAGATGTAAAGAGCATTTTAATATAATGTGTTATGAATTTTTTGAAGCTTATCATAGTCTGAGTCTCTCTGTCTCTGTCATATTTTATCAATCATGTTATCGATATATCAAATTTTGTTGTTGAGGGCCTAATCATGTCATGTTATGCTGATTATGCAGTCGAAATAAACTTATAATCATATCATACTTTATAAATTTATACTTTTATGTTCCTTGATTGCTTCAAACCCATTCTTTAATAAAATGCATTATATTAGAAAGATTCAGTATAACTGAATATTTATCTTTCTTCAACACCAGGTACTACTTCATAATTTGGCTTTTAGATGCTTTGATATCTCTGTAATGATTCTGAAGTGGTTGGTGTAAATTATTTAATATTATATTCTATACATCTGCTTCATTGGTACATCCTTCTTTTTTATTAGATTTAACTTACAATTCAATGGATCAATTTTCTAACATGATTTGTGATTCTAAGTGGTGATAATACTTCCTTGCCATATGTAAGCTAAAGCCGGTAGTGGTAATCAATATGGATTTAATCACATACCTTAATCACAGCTAACACTATTGGTGTTAAAATGCCCATATCTAATTTTTCAGATGTATATTCATCTATTTTTTCAAGCACATATTCATCCTCCATTTCGTATTTTACAGTATAATCATTGCAAACGTTTGATTAAATATGTGACATACAGTTATTTTTAGCAGGAGTTCATTTTTCTATATGGAGGGAAATGCAGCGATATAGCAGCGATTTCTAAACAATAGCAGCCATTACCAATTGATATATACCGTATATAGGGTGTCCATAAGCATAAAGTCTTAAAAGATTTTAAAATTGCAAAGGGAATTTATCGATACCATATATTGTTTTGGCCCTCACAGATGTATTGAATATAGTAAAAATACTTAATCAATTACTGATTAAAAAACAACATTGAAATTGTAAAGAGACTTTATGGAAACCCTGTATTTATATTCTCAATTATCTATGCTGACATATGTATTATATTATAGACATTGATATCTATTAATCCACAAAAAAGGTCTATTGTGTGTTGTGACTATAATAATAATATTACCATGAGAGTTATCTCATACAATGTCAAAGAATTTGGAATATAAAAGGTATATTATGTTTCATAATCCAGACAAATTTCTCCTTCATAGTGATAGACTTCATTATGGACTTCAATAAGTTTTGACAAAAGAGAAGACATAGTGTTGTGACCTTCATTATTCATACCATTTTACTTTCATGAATTATTGAATAGTTAATGTATAATGCTGATATATATGGTGAAGAATATTAAAGCTAATGCTCTTTTTTTTTTAACCCTTGTAGCGATTTTATCAGTCTGCTTAAAGCATGGTATTGATTTCGTCCCGATAAAGATCAGCATAATATGCGTACATGCAGCACAGCTAATTGTGTTCACAGTGGTTAACACAAGATTCAGTTTTGTGTAATGTAATCATAATTAGACAAGTATTTTTAGGGAAGATTTTCTTTCTAGTAAGGTTCGAGAAGCATAGTTTCTACACATAGTATGATTGCCTACACACATTCACCCTAGAGTAAAATGCAACATCAATTCATCAAACTTGATTGTATATCATATAGGAATATTTAAAAATATCAGTATTTTATAAAAGCAAGAGAAGCAGCTGGTCAACTTTCACATGTGGTATCAGCTGATGCACTTAGGAGCATTAACAAATTTCTATATTAACTGACCTAGAAAACTCATTTAACTAATTACTATTGTTTCAAATTTAAAATGTTACCATAATATTTTTTTTTATCATTTAGTATTAATTTCTCCTTATATTAATGATAAACATTCGATAATAACTATGATCATACTTGAATCTTTGTGATAATTGAATGATTTCATATGATCCGATTTCTAAGTTGTAATTTCTTGGAAACTCAATCGAGATTAATTGAGACTTAAATATGATGCGTCAAATAGGACTTCTACCTGCAGGATGTCAACCTTGGTTCTCCAATATGATTGTAGGTACAATGTCAAAATTTGCATACTGTTCCACAATGGCAGTCTACATATATGAAACCTCCTCTTCCAGTCAGGAGTATAAGTTAACAGCTATCAATGCAGAGCATACAAAGACAATATCTTCTATTGCATGGAATTCAAGATGCCCTAATTTAATTGCAACATTTGGTGCTGATTTGAAAATAGTAATCTGGGATGTCTCAAAACAAAAAGTAATCGCACAACTTCCAAATGTGAAGGTAGTATCTTATTGTATTGATTGGATCAACGGGCAGCCTGACCCACAAACAATTTCTTACATTGGTGTCGGTGGACAGTTAGAATCATGGAATATAAGTACTGGTAAAGTTTCTGCAGTAAAAAATATAACTTGTTCTGGTGGAGGTAAAGTAACTATGTTTCGATGGCATCACACAAAGCAGAAGACAATTGCATTTGGACATCATGATGGCAGTATTTCACTTATTATCCAAGGGAAGAGGAGAATTTTGAAGTCTGCTGATAATGATGAAACTGAGGATCCTGTAGTTGTATTAAGCTGGGATCCATTATCCAATGATTATCTCCTCGTGGCAAATAAATTAACTGGCATCCGCCTTATTGATACAAATAGTGGTTCAGTAATTTCAAATTTCTTTTTACCAAGTAGGGCTGTTTCCACTTGTTGCTTCTCATGGATCAACTCAGCTCCAGGTATGTTCTTAACTGGAGACAAAGAAACTGGAACACTAAGGCTTTGGACGGTTGGCCAGGATCAGCCGCTCGAAAATTTCAAAGTAAAAGGCACAGGCTTCAATGGAATTCATGTGCTTGATGTTACACAAGATGACAAATTCTATGATGAAAATTTACAGCCAAATTCGATGCAAAGAAAGAGTTCGCAATCGCAAGTTTCTTCTCATTCTGTACCTCCTGCTCATGTTGTATGTACATTTCGTGATGGTGGAGTTGGTCTGTATGACTTGCAAAAGAGGAAATGGAAATTCTGTAAAGATCAAGGACATATTGAGACCATATTTGATTGCAAGTTTAAACCAGATGATCCAAGAATGCTAGCTACGGCCTCTTTCGATGGTACAGTAAAAATATGGTCAGTGAATGACTTAAGTGCAGTCAAAACATCTGTGGGAAATGAAGGTGTGATATATTCTTTATCTTGGGCACCGGATAATTTGAACTGTGTTGTTTGTGGTACACGACGTCATGGTGCTTTTGTTTGGGATTTTACAAAAGGAAAGGTAATAAAAAGGTTTTCAGAACACGGATATGCAGCTGTTTTTTGTGTTGCTTGGAACCAGAGAGATTCTCATCGAATTGCATCATGTTCAGAAGACAGCTATTGTATTGTTCGTAGACTTGATGGAAAAAATGTACAGAAATATCCACATCCAGACTCGGTTTATGGCTGTGACTGGAATCTCTTTGATAAGAATATATTAGCAACTGGATGTGAAGATGGCATAGTCAGGATCTGGAACGTTTCCAGCGATGTAACGACAACGTGTACCATGGAATTAAAGGGTCACACAAAAAAGGTCTTCAACATCAGGTGGCACCCCCTTGTGAAAGATATTCTTTGTACTGGGTCAGATGATTGTACAATTCGGGTATGGAATATTGCCAATAACAGAGATTCTACATGTATAGGAGTTTTGTCTGGACATACTTCCAAAGTTCGAGGTTTGACTTGGAATCATGAAATTCCTCATCTTTTGGTATCTGGATCATGGGACAGCACAATACGTGTATGGGATGTTAGAGAAGACAATCAGAAGTGCTTAGAAGTGGTAACTGATCATGGTGCAGATGTGTATGGTCTTGCTTCACATGTTTCAGCACCTTTCCTTATAGCCTCTACGTCACGTGATTCCACCGTTCGTTTATGGACACTTTCTTCTTCCTTAACATTACTGTTTGCAAAAATTATAGTGGGCCATCCCCTTGATGACATTCGAGCATCTGCCACTGAAGGTTTCGGAAGTCAATCCGGATTGAAATTGGCTGGAAGTATGTCAAAACAGATTGTTCAAGAGTTGAAGAAAAAACAGAGGAAACCTATTTTGAAACATAGATGGTTTTCAGAGCTCTTCTGTGCTATACCCTCCCTAGAAAATCTGTGGGACGTTGCTTGTTGTTCCATGGGCACAAAGGATGGTTCACTTTCCACTCAGTATAAAACTGGAATATTGCATACAAGTCATATAACTAAATACAAAGCTGCAGAAGCACAAGAAATAGAGCTGTCTACAGCAAGTCACTCTTCTCCTGGAAACCGACAGCAAGAAGCTGCATTAGAAATAGCTTCTAAAATTCATCTCAAATTAGGAAATTTACAGCGACACTGTGAATTGCTGAAGACTCTTGGTCGATGGGAGACTGCTTTGTCACTTGCACCTGGTGTATCCATAGAATACTGGAGAATTCTGGCAAAACAATATGCTAAAATTCTCAAGAAATCAAATGATGTGGAAGCGCTAAGTTATCAAATTGCAACAGGTGATAGTCAAGCATGTATTCACGATCTGATTTTAGCAGGAGATTATGAAGATGCTCTTGTGGTTGTGCAAAGTGCTATTGAGTGTCGCACTCCTTCATATGCTCCTGTTCCGAAATCTCTTCAAAATGGTGATACAAAGAGTGAAGAAACCAGTGATGATACTATTGATAGTGATGATTTAAAACGGTTGAGGACTTCTTGCATTGAAAAACTGTCGAAAAAGAAGTACTTAAATGGGGATCCATGTCGGGCAGCAACTTATTTAGTTTCTAACAATGATGTTGTTGGGGCTATGAATTGTCTCATTAATGCAAATGAATTGCTTCTTGCATTATGTGTTGGGCAGGCATTTGCTAACAAGAGCACCTCCAGTTATTTGGTGGAAGCCTCAATTCTATTTTCAAGGAAACTTGAAGCTGAAAAACACTACTTTTTTGCGGTTGAGATTTTAAAAATACCACTGTCTGAGGGAAATGTGTTACATCAAATGTGGAGTCCTATTCACGCATCATGTGCAAGATATGATGGAGATGATGCCCATAGAGAAAATTTGTATACATATGCAGGACTTGAATCCCCTATAATTTTTCAGCAAAAAGGTAAACAATTTCAAGAAGACGGTCAAAAGATAGAATCAATGTATTGTTTCCTGCTCTCTTCCACGCCTGAGCTTGGGTTGAAAATTGGCTTGGAATTGCTTTGCAATGAGCTGAAGTCAAGTTCATGGACATTGTCAACCCCTTCTGTTCTTAGTTTAGAAGCAGTGTTTTCTGTATCCTCTAAAATTCTTTTAAAGCCAGATGAATGTCTAAGTAAGAACATCTTACTTGCAATGTCAGCGTATATGGGAGCATTGAAAGCTATCAACAGTGGATACTTTTCTGTTGTCATTCCGTTATTTGAACATGCAATAGCAATGGCTGAAAGAATTGAATTGATGCCCAACAGCAGCAATAATACATTTCCGTTCAATTCTCAAGAACTACGACAAGATTTAGCAGAGTGGAAACAATATGTTTCTTCACTTAATCAAAAACAGGTGAAGAAGGAAGGTGTTGAAAGAGATCAATCTGTTGAAAACATTTTACATAGAGCAGAAGTCGAGACAATGGTGATTGATCCTGCAAATGAAACGATCGTTGCTGGATCAGGTTTGCCATCTCATTCTGACGTTAATATTTCCTCCTTAACGAACAAAAGAATAAGAGGACCAGTGTTTTGGTTGGAGGATCATAAAACTGTAATATCACTCAATGAAGCCATTATGTGGGCGAGAGTGAATCAGTTTTCACCAACGGGATCTGGAGAGAGAATAATACCGTTTTAGTGTTCTTGATTTTGTTTTTAGTTCAAATCATAGCAGAGTATCATATTGCTTTATAATTATATTTTTATCAAACACCACTGTCTCATCAAATAATTAATAGTGTTTAGATCTCGACTAGTATTGCACTGTTTTTTTTATAATTTGCTTATTATTTTTTTACGTTGTGCGAGGTGTTAATTTTAGGATTTTGCACATATTGGTTGTTTCTTTTGTAATATGTTTAGAAAAACCTCACACTGGTATGAAGATGTCACAAGTTGAAGGTGATCAATGGAATACCGATAGCTTGCCACCAAGGCTTGACTCCAAATTTAAAAAAAATAAATCGTTTCACATTCGTTCACTGGGAACGTCGGTGATGCAGATTATTTTAGTTTCATTTAAAGAATTCAATACTGTCTTTTGGACGTCTGAAATTGCACTTTTTGTTAGTTGAAAATTGTTTCTACTTCCATATGTGTCCGATGGATCTGGCACAGTGAGCTAGTAAACTAACTCACACACGACCTGGAAAATACATCCATTTACCGAATTTACAATCGCGGAAATTTGTTACTAGAAAAGATAATTGCGCCAATCTGATAGAATAAGAGGTGTCTGCTTTTTAGCAGTGCGTTGTATAATTTGAATATTATTTAATGCCATAAAACTGGGAAATTGAAAAAACGGCGGACCTTCGCTTGTGCGATGCTTTCGTACGACTACATGGCTGGTAAACAACAGGCTGAAAGTGGGTTGAGTATTGTCGAACATAAGCTTGAGGTTTTGCCCAAAAAGCAGTGTTCTCTCGTCTAATAAGTGTTAAATTAGTTCACGGGAACGTATGCACACAAAACTTCAGGAATATGAGGAAGTAGAAAATATCCTACGCGAGAGACTGTAGATAAAATAATAAATGGAAAAAGTTTATAAAAATTGATTGCCGCGTCATATTAATAATTTTACAACAGTTGCCAAATTGAATATGAATATTGTAAATAAAAATATTTTTTAAAAATGATATCGCCAAGCTGATTGTGGTTGGAATCGAATGCCAAATTGATCAACCAGAGTTGGGCGCATAAAGAGGTGGGCTAGGTCCAAGTTTGATTATATCACACTATCTACACATTGTCCAAGTCCTTAACCCTTAAGTAAACCCAAATACATTGCGGACATTAAAAAAAAAAGCATATTAATTTAGAATCACATAGTTACTAAGATAGGAGAGCTAATATTCATATATATGAGCTCCATGGTATTCGAATAAATAAAGTTATGCGTTAGTCGAAGATGACGATGTTGTCACGCTGTATAATACAATATACGATACCCAATGTCTTAACAATTAATTTTTGTCTACGGAAAGATAAAATACAAACCAGGATGAAACTGGAATCTGCCATACTATATGCAAAACGCCATCTCTGGCGATGCCGTAATATTGTACAACAATGAAATTAGGCATCAATTGTCGATACCCTGATTGCCTTGCGTTGATGAGACAATATTAGTGAGAGCCGAGAGGGTATCCCGAAGTTTCCGTCCTCGTGTCGTGTGGACTTCTTATCATTCGCTTTCATCCATTATCCAAGTCTACGAACCTGGAATAATTAGGTAGTTATCTATTCATCGACACGGGTAGTTCGCTAGACCCTTCTTTCAAAGAAATAAATATGAAAATCGCATTTATTCTGCGTCCGATAGCAGCATACGTAAAAGAGAGTGAAGAGAATAATAATAAAATACCAAGTATAGTACAACGTCGAATGAATCAGGGCATTGTCTGTTATCGGAACAAACTGAATTCGTGCGGTTCTTGCCAAATGGTTGATGACAGTAAACTTCCGCATTTCGCCCCAATAAGAATATATGTTCGCCCACAAGAACGGGAGCTTCTTTTGGCGACATTTCAAAACCAAATAGAACAAAGTGATAAGTTTTTGAACGTTCGTGGATATCCAAGCTTTCCACATGTGGTAATCCTCGTACACAAAAGTCACTTGATTTAGGATATTCATATTTTCGCTTTACATTTTGGAGACAATGTGGATGTCCATACTAAAAAGTATACTACATATCCAAATCTTTTCTTTTTTGTTTTTGATATTCTATAGTCTATACCGTTCCTTTATATCTTACCATTTTTAAGTTGATAAATGAAAGATCTATCGAAATTTTTTCTCGAAATATTGTGAATTTATACAAAAATCTTTCAAGGAAACTCCATTACGTTGCCCGTACAAATTTGCCACTAGATGCCATAAGTATTTGTCAGACACGGACGTTGGAGGTGTCTCTGCGTTTTCGTATATTGCGTTTTATACCGGTAAATTAGCTGGTTTCATTACCGGTTTTTGTGAAAGCACTCTTTGAATGTTGAAATGGAGCTTCAGGACATAACTTAGTAAAGACATTGGTACGTGTGAATACAAGATAAAGGAAGCAGAGGGGTTAGTTGGCGTGAATGAAAAAATGAGCGACCCCTTTTTCTTTGCTTCAAAATCTCAGGTGAGATATAGACTAAAAATGTTCTAATCAAATAGAATTATGTATGTGTGGGTAAAATGTGCGTTTTTAGTCTGCTCATTGACTTTAAGTCATGTGTGATAGTTTTACTGGTACCGTATTGGACAGTTGTATTCCAGTATTTTTTATACTTTTCTGAAGCAATCTGACTGTCAACTGGATACCAAGTCCTTAACTTTTTTTAGTCAGAGGTTCAAATTTTAAAATGCTCTTGTTAGGATTTTGTTATTTCGAATTCAATCAAAACTTTTTTATCCAAATCTGAAAACTGGAAAATGGGGAGTTGAAATTTTGTCGAATGGGTTGTATTTATATGAATTAAGTTTTGAGTCTCATGTAGTTTCGTACCTCAAGTACTTCTAGTGGGCGTAGCAAAACGATTTTTGCACATGTCAATCCTAACCCCCACCTGACTACACCATCCAAAATTACTTCACAATCACGTCATAGAGCTTGCCAAAGTATACCTACGGTCACCCGAAATGGCATCTGCATCGACGATAAAGAACTCACTAACAACAACGATCTCTCACTGATCGGGATTGTTGCGACGCGAAAACGAGAGAAATATCTTGCTTGATTTCGGGTGATCGTCTGCGCGTCTTGGATGACAATTTGCATAGTTTGAAGAGCCTTATTACTACACTAGACCCTAATTTTTGATGTCTTATATCATGGATAAAAATTTGCACAGATCTAGAAGTAGTGACCACAGAAAAGTGAGAAAACCCCACAAATATCAAAGCAAACTGCTGAACAATTTAGTTATATTAAAGGGCCCTTAATCCTGTATTGTGGCTAAATGAAGTCAGTATTCAACAATTGATTGTACTTCATATAGTCATAGGAATATTGGCTCAAGGCAATGGCACAAAAATTTATAGGACTCATACAAGAGACCCATGTTTTGCCATGTAATTAAGCTGAAGATATTTGAAAAATCCAAACTTGTTTGCTTAATATATTAATAGACTTAAGTAAAAAAACAGTTGCGGTAAAGAAGTTTTCAGAATGTTCTAACCTCATTATATAACCAGATTTTAGTTACTGACCAAACTACTTATTATTCAGTTTCGTAAGGATGATTCGAGAAGAAATATTGACCTTCTGAATGATGAAACATTTGGATCTGGAGCTGTTGGTGAGATCTTTATTTTTTAAAAGCAATCAATACTTGTAATATAGTAAGGCGTTATTTTGCAAGCTGTCTTTTTATCCTACTCTCACACATGGAGTTTTAGATATGGCCTAGTGGCATATGATGCATTTTTGCGTCTGTACATGTCTGTCTGTTTTGAGTCTGCCTTCAGAGTAAATTGTATGTATTTTCAAACCTTACCAATATATTCTTGCAGATGATAACTGGGAAGATGAACATAATCAATTTGTTGAACAAAATTCACGGGGTAGTAGTCTTAGTGCAGTTGGGCGAATGGAAGATTATCTTGATGAAGATGAATTGGAATTATCAAATCAACAACTCGCAGCTGCAGTAGAAGAACTGGTCTTGAACAGCGACCAGGATCAAGATGCAATTGATCCTGCCATTGTCAGCTTGCGTAAAGAATCTCGAATGGGTTCATATGATCCAAGACTAACAGAAGAGTAAGTTAAAGAGTTTATTGTAAAAATTTGGCAGCGGAATAAGTTACCAATTCTGCGTCTTTTTATTAACCTCAATTATTCAACCTATTGACTTTTAATATACCATAACAATTATGTTTATCATTTGAACTATTTTTATTAGCATTCAACAAACAATAATTTTAGGATCATATTTTATCGTCCCTAATATGTAATTTCGACGACAATAGTCCCTTTTTTTGGTAGCTTCAATTATTAACAAATATTTTAGATTCTCACCAAAAATTTTTTTTAATTTTGAGGTATGAATTGCTCTATTTCACTCGATTAATGATATTACAAACTTGTTTAATTAAGCCATTTTACTCTGTTTTCACATAATACTATTCATATTCCAGTCTCATATCACCATATATGGGTGAAAGGAATAATTTTGGTAGAATAACTCCGACATATTCTTCACAAAATTCTTCATCTTCATCAGCTTCACTCTTTCAAACTGATGGATTGGTGAGAGTTATTTATTGTATATTTTACATTAGCAACAGTGTAATGTACCGGTACTTGTTGCAATTCATTAAAATCTTTTGCAAGTTCTTTTGAGAATAGTTATCATCAATTTGGCGCATATGATAGCAATTAAAGTGTAGGTTGATATACTCTTTACATAGTCTACATAGTCATATACCACATATCAACGTCGCTGCTCGATAACCATTTTTGGTTCCCCGCGACTTCCCTTCCCCAGTAAAACTGTGTACTATTTTCTTGTAATTTGTGCCTGTGCTATTTATCTATTTTTTACTGGTTGGAAAAAAAAATAAACTTGATGATTTTAGTTCTATTACGAGTTCGGGGACTGTTTGTGTTTTTAGCCAAGTGAATATACATACCCCCTTCCCATAGGTTTCCGACTGTAAAGTAGGCGAACAAAATTAGTCACCTCAATATTGGTACACATACTTCTAGAGCGCCCTATTTCTAGCAAAAAAATTTTGAATAGCCTAGTAATTTGGATATAAAAATCTGTAAATTTGAATGTTTTTACAGCGTAATATCTGGAGTAATACTGACCTGGAGGTTCAAGACTCGTTAACAAAATCACCATCTATGATATTGGAACGTCAAATGTTGAATGAAAAGTTGAAGAAAATGATGACTAAAACTACGTCACCCGAATTTGAGGCAAGTTTTTTCCTCGCTTTTTTTCATTTTGTCATGTGTTCATTTTAATGTTGGATATGCCTTTGTTTAATCCTGAATTCTTGAAAAATTGATTGTGCTTGCATAAAAATAAGAAATTTTGAGGACAAACCAAATATGGTATTATATTCTTAGGAATGTTAATAAGCTCCTGTGGTATGAATTTTTTGTCTCGAGGAAAGGGTTTTCGGCAGAAATGAATAACGTATTGTCGTTCAAAATTTTCAATGCCCATTTATTAAGGTTTGCGTTTGGATACTACTATAAAAAAATTATTAATAAAATAGCACACTTGCAAAATATTTAGGCATTTGTTTTTGTGTCTAAAATCATCCTGATATTGTTCATATTTACTTTTTATTTTTAATGCTATTAGTAGTTTAATTGTACTTTCTAGGATGAGGCAATTCTGTCAGCTGTAAAAGCAAATCCCATGCCACAAAGTTGGCCGATAACCTCCCAATCTGAAGATTTACTTCGTCACATGTTTGCTCAAAAACAACCAATGTTAAGAGCCGAAGACTTGGAAAGGGAATTCTCAGGTAGTCAACTGAGGTGAGCAAAATGTAATTAACATTGAAATTGCTGTTCTTCATATCATGATTTTTGAAATTAAACATGTTGGGTCGCCCTTTCTGTCACTTACTGGGATGAAAAATTTGATGCAAATGTGTAAGTTTAAATAGAATTATATTGACCGAATGGGATATAGCTTTAGCTGATCACCATGCAATTATAATAACTCGTAATCTTATTACCTGATACAAATGTCAAATCTCATTCTAATTCACTGTATGGGTGGAAACAATTTTGTGTTTGCATGGCACACCAGATTAGGAATTAATAACAGAACTGAATAAGGTTTGTCTGGCATGTTGTGTTTAGGTATATATAGGGGATATAATATCTTATTCCTAGAGGATTGATGTTACTGTAACTACAAATTCCTGCTATTTCTTGCCTTGAAATAACAATTTGACTATGCACAATCCATTGTGTTTGTTACTCAGTTATTGATAAGATTAACCTATATTTTAATTTATTTCTAGAACACTACAGGCTGAATTATATCTCAGGGATTTAATATTTGTTTTTTTTTCCATGCAGGGGACCATCTCCAACATTTGGTATCAGCATTCCTAAAGACAATGACCTGAATCATAATGGAATGGATAGATCACTGCCTGCAAGATCAGTATCTCCGATCATTGGTAGCCCAACATCACACGCTTTGCCTATTGGAACACCACCTAAACATATAGCTGATATGATGCATCAAGCACACAAACAGGTCAGTGAGTTAGCATTTAGGCTACTTGAGCTGTGGGGTCAGAGTTTGGCATGTTTGTATTGATATTAGAGCTGGAGCTGTATGGTCAAACTAATTTCAGCTGGAGTCGAAATTTTGAATTTGTACGGGACTGAATTTCAGACTTTTAATATTGATGGTAATCAATATCAAAATTCGGACCTTCAGAAGTATGCGCACCAAGATGGCGCACAACCTGAACATAGTATGTGTGTACTGGTTAGGATTCAGGTTGTGCGACATCTTGGTGCGCATACTTCTGGAGCACCCAAAATTCTATGCAGAAACCTAAAGGCATTAGTTGACTAGGTATTCACAGCAGACAATTGAAAAACTATGTTAGACCTTACAATTGAAAATTTGCAAAATCTTCTGTTATTTCAATTCATTTTTCTTGGGGCTGAGTCAGTTAAAAAAAATTCTACAACGGTAAATGTGTCAGAGTTGTTCTTTTAAAAAGGTTTGCGGGTGGATTCACATATGTCCCTAATACTAACAGCACGTTACAAAATTTTTATTTCAAATTCATACATTTTTATTTTTATAAAGGGGCTCGGAGGACCACATCCTGGCTTCCCTCTTCTTCAAAGACCTCAAGGTTTTATGGTTCCTCCAGGAAGAGCAGTACCTCCACCACCAGGCATGGGACCACCTCGGTTGTGGCCTCCTCATGGAATGATTAACAGACCACCAATGAATCCTCTAGTTGCTCAGGTTCGTATATTTTTCTCAGTATTTCTGTTTTGCAATAGTTAGAATCCTTGTCGATACACTTCTACATATACAATTCTGTGACTTCCATCTGACAAAGAGCTGATTAATGCAAATGCATAAAGAAAATGGGAAGTAGATAGTTATTCGACTAATTTCTGAATATTTGTCTGAGTTCCAAGTGTGTAAAGATTGACCGGCCTCGAAGTTGAAAATTACATACCGGTACTACCAACGAACATTTTTTTCTTAGTAAAGATATTTTCTTGAGATACTTTGACTCTGTGTACACAGTCTATAGGTAAGCTATAGCCCTAACTGGTAATCGAATGAGAAGTTGGGATGTTATCAGTTATGAAAGTTATGTTATCAGTTTTCCTATCTAATCTTTCCTATCAGTTTCCGTAAGTATCCAAATATGAACAATACAATGTGAATTTTTGTTGTCAGGGAGATTTTACGGTACTCCCGTAGTGTGTGTACCAGGTTAGGGTTAGGCCAGTGGTCGGCAACCACCGGGCCGCAGCCCATCGCCGGTCCGCGGAAAGAGTCCGCGGAAAGGTTACTGCCGGTCCGCAGACCGTAATAAACCCTCTACAATCCAACCACAAACCCCACGACTGAAAAACAGCACCCAACAGTAAACCAGACAAACACAACACCAGGTGTCAAAAAAAATGCGGCCCGCTAATTTGTTGCGGCCCTTGAACGACCCGACATTTAATAAATGGAACAAAAATTAATCCCAAATTTATTATTGTCTCTACACGGATTTATGAGGTGACAAGTGCTGCTGTACGGACGGAGCTTCTTATGTAACAAGTAACGTCAGTTGTATGTCGTTCGAGTTAATTTCGATTTTTAAAATTTGAAAATGTCTGGAAAACGGAGCGATGCGGGTCGAGCATTCCAAAGTGCTTGAACGAAAAATATTTTTCCTCCTTGCGCATTTTGAAACCGGTTTGCTCGATATGCCCAGTCAGCATCGCAGTTGTTGAGGGTTTCAATGGTAAACTCGTTACAAAACGAGTCGTCGAAAATTCGACCCCGGGACTGCGCCACAGCTCATCTGTGCGACAGTGCAATGTGCACGTTCGCAAGAACATATGGCCGCGAGCAGCTTTATCTAAAATGCATTCCACTTAGAATAAATTTCGTACTCGCTTGTCAGATCATCATTTGGACGACGAGTTGCCATAAAAACATCATCTTTGACATTGATAATAAGTATTGTTGGATAATAGAAAAAAACGTCACATATACATCTCATTGGGACAGGCTTTCAACACAGCAATAGGAGGGTAGCAATGCAAATGCGTCATAATTTGAAGTTTAATTATGGTAGCGATTGTTCGAAGGCGGAAATATTGCGGCCCGCGCGCTATCGGAAATGTTTATATTTGGCCCGCAAGTACATGTAGTTTGCCGACCACTGCATCACACTATTGAGCAACATGTCTGATTTCATAAACAATTGTCATGTCAGTATGTCACAATAATGCTGAGTCAATTGTTTTCTCTACGCCCGTATAAGAATGTCTCTCATCAGTCCGACTAAGATTTCCCCAACAAAACGTTACAGGCATTGTTAACTTTCCCGAAATCCTGATGTGAGGCCTGGTTTTCAATATTGATAACTACAAAAACGAAATATCGAAATAGGCTGGAAGTAAGAAACACGTCACGTGTGTCAATGTTGACCATATCTCGAATATGGGAACAGTTAATGGCCATCAAACAAATTTCTCAATGCAACGCTGTAAAGATTTGAATGAATTCACCGATAACTAACTTTTTCTACACAGGATATCATGAATCGGATTGGTATAAACAAACCATTTGCAATGATGGCAGGATCACCACCAACAAATATGAGTCCGATAGGATCACCTAGATTTGTGCAAGCCCCTCATTTGATTCCACAACCAAACATTGGGTTTGGTCAGCAACACATTATCAGACCTGGACAAGGTCCAACAAGATTTCAAGGACCTATGCAACAAATGAGACAATTCCCTAATCAAAGGTGACTACTTAATCATTCTATTTCTTTATATTTCATAACAATTATATTTGCATTATCATATTCCTATGTAAAGTCATAGTCATGGGTATTAAAAAAGAATCGAGTATTTGAGTTAATTATATCGATATTTTGAATTTTTGATTTAGGAAAATTCGAATAGTTGTATTTAAAAAAAAAAATAATAATATGTGAGTGATAATGAAGTCTCATAGTGCAATTGAAAAGGGGCTTCATTTAATTTCTGAAATTTATTCAATATAGAGAACAAAGGAAATCATTGTTTAGGTTGAGTTTAACTTCAATATTCAAAAGTATTATTTCAGAATTTTTCCGGAATAGTAGAGTATTCGGTTCTAGTCGTCCCGAATAAGAGTTATTTTAACAGAGATCAGGAATTGGATTAATAGGCCGGTTTGTGCAATATTAGAATATAGCCATCCCGTCACTTGATCCCTATATTTTTTCAAATGGTTTTAAATTTTTTTTATTTTTTAAGCTTTTCTGTTTGATGTTATATTTATATCTGAGAGATATCCAAAAAAGTTGTATTAGAAGTTGGAGTTACTTTATAATGTATTTTTTTACAATTCACTGATTCAAATTCAAGTTATTTTTTGAATTTTGCGAAACAGAAATACATTTGTGTTAGTATGTAGTAGGACTCTTGAACTATGTAGTAAGTGGAAAAAGTTTGATTTTTTATGTCACAAAAAGCAGATTGCTGTCACAGTCACTCACAAATGGTACTTTCATAACCTTGGAAATTTGGAATACTAATTTGTAATATTAACGATACTTCTTTCTAGAGTAGACCTTTCCATTTTAATAGGCAGACAATTTTTTTTAACCAGCTTTAACCCTTTCACAGATATGCAGGTCCACAACAACGTCCCATGTATCTAGGTCCTGGTCATTTACATCCCGAGCATAGTCGATTTGTTCGCATGCGACGACAACAATCAAACCGTAACAGACCATATAACGGTAATCATCAACATCACGGAAATCATCACGACAGACGATCTCATGGTCGAGATTCTTCATCACGTGACCCATACGCCTACTTGATGACAAGTCGAGAAAAAGAATGGGTTATCAAAATTCAAATGATGGCGCTACAGAGCGACAGACCAGAAATTGATGACTATTATTATCAGGTTACTATATGTTATTTCGTAAAAAATATAATATTTTCAAATTGTAGTTAACCTGTTCGACACTCTTTATCGAGCCCAATTTCGTATACCAATTTTTATTCATGTCAAACGACCCCCAAAATTTACCCAATATACAATAATTATATACCATTGGAAAGGTCTTTTGGAGTACTATACGCTAGATGTCACTGGAGGACCGTAAACTAAAACACCTCTTTCAAGAGGTCTCTCGTAACGTCAAAAAATAACAAAAATATTTACACTCTCTCATTCTATCAGCTGTTGGACGTGTATAGCTATTGAAAAGCGCAAATGTGACTATACAGTTGACTGCACATTGGTTTTCTCTTTCATATGATACTAAACGCTTTTCGTTAGCGCGTATCGTTGAAGCGTTTTGGAAATTTTCCGTTTGAGAAGTCACCACATCGAATCAGGCCAGGCTAAGCTTGATAGATCGATCGGTTGTTTGTTTGTGCTTTATCGCGTTGAGAGCTTTTGTGAGTCATAATAAAACATTTATTATGAATCATAAAAGCTTATAATCGTGAGACAAGGAGAATTTGTGAGATAAAACGCCTATGTGAACTAACTTTTTTTCGGTGAGGCAGTTGCGATCAAACGACTCGATATTTTTATAACTTCCTGACGTTGTGAGATGTCCACTCTCCTATGTTATGTAGCATATAAAAGGACCTTCAAAATAAGACCTTATCATACTAGCTTTTGTTATTGGTTAGCGCGCAACGCCAAGGTTTATTGAATTATTTTCTTGCTGTGCGACGTTTTTCTATCGCAGCGGGAAGTACACTCGTGAAATGTAAGCGATATTTTATTACTTCCAAATGTCATATAACGTTCATTCTTATATTGCTGGGTAGGAAATGAGCTATTCTTCCAAACAAGACCATAACAAACATTCCAGACCTCATGGTTTACACACAGCGTCTGAAATTGCGCTAATGCACCGATTCGCACAGAACAGGTTAAAGATGAGAAATTCAGAATAACGAATCCAGAAGATTTAAATACCAAAGTATTCCAATCCAGTAGGATTCGGTTTACGCTTCTTTGACACTGTACCACAATTTTGATATTTTGCTTACTGTTACCAATATTTATCATTGCAGAGATACATTGATAAACGGCTACAAGAAGGAAAATTATCCCTTGATGATGATAATCCAGAGCAAAAAAGATTGATTACTCCAACTAAAGCAAACCCAGAAGGCAAAAAATATATTCCAGGTAAGAGTAGAACTTTTAAATAACAAGGCGTATTCCGAACACAGCGTACTTGAGATTAATCTTTTCATTTAAACAATACAATTCTATATCTATAACAATTACTCATTCCATAGCTATGGAACAGCTTATTTCTATATCTGTTATTGATATCTGGGATCAAGACCTGAGATACAATCCCCCTATATAGTATTAGAATAAAAAGATGGTTTCCAGAATCTATAATATTTAAATGATATAAATTCCTAATCATTACATTATATTGGGTAATTTTGTTGATCAAAATTCAACATCAGCAAATGTAAAATCAATTTTCAATTCTTTCAGTTCAATTTGACAACTCACTGGGCAAACTTACAGTATCAAGTGTCTATAATCCTCGACAAATCATTGATGTCATTCATGCTGAAAAGGAAGAAGAAAACCAGACAGTATGATCAATCATTACTCAGTTTTGAGACTGTTTATGAGTCTGATTAATTTTCACAAAATTCATTTTTTGGAATGAAATAGTAGTTTTCATATTTCTTTTTAACCTTCTTCTTTTCTTGTTTTTAACTTAAAGTTTATTCAGTTTTTGGTTTTTAGGAAACTTTTGATGTTAAAATGAGCATGAACAAACGGCTTGAAATATACAAGATCATTGAAAAGGTATGCAGTTTAAAATATTTTGCAGTTATTCACATTTCCTAATTGTTCCTATAAATTTCTAAATCAAATTATCTTATGTAATCCAATTTTTTCTGGCGGTCCGGTTGATATTTGAGAACTGTTGGTTACAGCTAAATTTCAATATCATCTGCTTCTTCCATATTTATACAGTGGAATTGTTGTTTGGCTTTCTGCATTTTTTTTTATTTATAAAGCTTTGAACTTCCATCAGCATTTTTTACATCTCTCATGCACCATTTACATTTATTTCAACTATTTGCGTTTCTATACTAATAAATACATACATTATAAACCAACAAGGAAGGGACAGAGAAAGTCGCAACGTGACAGAAATACATTTGTGTTAGCGTGCAGCTGAACTCTTGAATTGCATAGTGAGGGACGGAATGTGATCATAAATAAATAGTTCACTGCAATGTTGTCCAGATTCAACCATTTTGATTTCCAGTATTACATGTTTAGGCCTATTCTTCTGTTATGGAACTGGAAGAGTTGAATTTCAATCCAGAAGATTTGGATGACACAGAAAATAATGAGGATGCAGAGAAAGCAGACAACAGATCTGCGAAAGTTTATAAATCTTTGGAAGAATTATTGTTTTCCAATGAATCAAGTTCCAAGGAAGAAAAAGTAGTCACTCTTGACATCATCTCACAATGTTTACGAATTCGAAAAGGAAAGAGACTTGCTTGCAGAGTCTTGCCATTACTAACGCAGGTATGAAAATTTAAAATATTGTGCCATGGTGCTGCCGCCCTCTAACTTTTTTTACCATTGATAAAGAGAAGCATTTTTTCCACAAATTAGTCATTTGAAAATAATTTCTTACTTAGGTAAAGTTAGATTATGGATATGTCTCTATTCCATTACTTTACAAGAGATGGGATGAATAATTGAATTGAATCAAGCTTACTGGTGATCTTTGTAACTTTGCTTATTATATCCACTTCAAATCAATGTATTGATTACAACCTTAATCACATTAGAAAAACAAGTAGTCAAATAACCGGTGCTTCATCCTGTGATGACAAGAACTCCAGCAACTTTCCTTCACATTGATTAATCACAATCCTTGCCAATGCGTTCGAACAGGCGAATCCACCAGGGCTATCAGCAGTGTGATAGCAAGTGTACTATTCGTGAGTGCATTATTTCATCACATCGATCTATTACATCAATTTTATTTTTTTACTTCAGGTCTATGCAGTCAAAATTACACAAACAATAATAAAGCAGTTGCCAGTTTTAATAAAGAGGGACCAAAAGGAAGATGTAAGTTACATATTTTCTTTTCCATAAATTTAGTAGTACAATGAAATTAGCTGATTTTTTTGTGGTTTTGTAAACAAAACATAGATGCTTCAGTTGACTTATCATCCATTACTGTGCCAAACACAAAATTCTACCTTTTCCATCCAACTGAGGTTAAAATATTACTGGGTAACATATTTCGATTGATGTATATACTGTCTGAAGATTCTCCTTTTGTGTTTTCTTTATTCATTATTAGCATTATAGTAGTAAGCCAAGCCAAGAAAATCTCTGAAACAGTTTGGTATTAGGGGCATCAACTATGGAACTTCTACAACATACTAATGTACGCTAACACACATTTTTTATATATTTTTTCAGATACTTCAAGAGTTTTATCATCCTATTTGTCATGTGTTACAGTCTATGGATTCAGATGAATTATTGAATACTTGTTCCATACTTACTTCAATATGTAATGTTATATGCAGAGATAAAGTGAGATTTTTGATTGATTTCAAGTTTTCCACCAATAGCATAGCATCTGATATGTGGAATATAGCATTACCCAATCAACTTCTATTTGAAATTCAAAGTTTGCTTTCTGCCTACTAAAATAATATCTTCAATGCAGAGTACTGCTCTGACAATTTTCACTGCTGTTAAATTTCTGTATTTGTATATTCGCATGGTAGGTGTTGCATAGGAATAGATTATATTTTACAACTAGAATAAAAAACAAGAAGAAGCTTTTTTTTATCACCATTCTGTATTATGAAATTTTTCAATATCTCATCAAAACCCAACATTAGGAAATAACAAAGATGACTGAAGATTTTTAATGGGAATCTACTCCTACAATTTTTCTGACAACTCCATTTTTCTTTCACAGTTTGGAATTTCAATTGTTTGCAAGATATTAGTTATAGGAGATAAAATTGATGAACTAAAAGATGAACTTCAATCTAAAAAGATTTGGTAAGACTGAGAGTGTTATACAATTAAGCAGCCATGTTATCTATGCCGTATTGACAAGATATTTTTTCTTGGGGAAGTTTGCTCAAAGCAAAATCATGTGCACTCACTCAGAAATATATATCTCTGATATCTCTGAGCGAACAAGTTAAGGCAACCAGTAGAATGCCAAGACTTACTGAGACCATAAATAACGCTAATGTGGAATTGTGTGTTAGTAAGTACCGATTGATGCAAGAAGCGGTAAGTATCTCTTGAAGCGGTGTTTTGAAAATGTCATGCCCCACTTTACACATATGTCTCACTTGTCTCACTTTACCCGCGTGTCTCACATGCCCCACTTTGTACCGGGACAAGTGAGTAAAGTGGAACACAACATTTTCGAGACACCCGACTTGAAGCAGTACATGTCAATACTGTTCATGCCAATCCAATCAGGAAAACAGATGTGAGTAGGTTGAATTTTACATAAAATTTATATTCCATATTTATATACTTACTCCCATTTTCTGATATTTTTATCAAACTTTTTCAGGAATGATTTCATTTCCAGTTGCTTCAAAGCTTTTTTCTTGCTGTGTGATAAAAAGAAGAGTCAAATTCCTAATATATTAGAAGATGAACTCGCCATTGAGGCAATAGCTGTTTTAGAAAACCATAGCCAACTTATCAATGAAGGTGAAAAGAAAAGAAATAAGAGCATTGCAGACTTGAAAGAAATGTTATCTTTTCAAATTGAGGGAACAGCTTTATAGTCCTATTTAGTTTACAAATTCATATGTTGATGTGGCTATACCGAAATCCACTATTGTGCAGACATGGTATTGGTGCAGGGAGACAGGAAAACTCTATCATATGACTTGAATTATATAAGAATGAACTTTCGTCTAGTTACTTTTGTATTGTCATATCTATTTATAAACTGTAGGTCATGTCTAGGGCTGAGCATTTTGATTACCTGATGATTTCAGAATCGAATCTTTGGGAGTCAATGAGAGATATGTAATTGTATGTGACTTTTTTATTGGAATTGGTCCTGTCAACACATGAATTACTAAAAACATAGAATAGATCGTTCAGACAGATTGCTGAGCGTGCAAACATAATAAATCACTACAGAAAATAGTTATATGTCATAATTGTGTTGAAAAAATATGACTCTAATGGAAAAATAAAAATGGAAATTCACCTCGACCATTGGTGGAAAGAAAAAAAAACAAAGATGGCGTCAATTCGAAATTATGCTCTGAACAGATTAGAATAATTTACTATTCAATACAAAATGCCCAGCCCTAGTTATGTCAAGTCTGTATCTACTTCAATATCAAATTCAACGAATGACTTCTTGAGTTTAATCATGCTCTTTATGGAATTGAAGATCTTCTTGCTCATATGTTAATGGTTCTAGTAATTTTTTTACCTGATAAATTTTTTTCATACACTTGATTATGAGTAGTGTTCCAGTTTCTATGGTCTTTGCACACAGTGCATCTTATGCCTGAGTGATTATCTTAACTGCTCTGGGTCTTCGAACAGACGTAAAATAAACGAGGTAACCAATATGTTCACTGTTTTATATGAAAGTGAAGAGATTCAGCTTGTGGTTCGGTGGTTGACGCATTGTGCTAAATGTTCGGAATACATTTGCCACCACACCTCTGATTACCCTGCGTGGGGTCGGGTCCCATGTGGGGATAGTTATGGGCGAGAGGATTGCTGGACTCCTCGACGCCCTGAGGAGGTTCACATAAACGCCGGTCGGTTAGGGTTTCCGTCATTAGGTCCATGCTCCCGAAAACAAAAAACTGGCTATACCCGACATGGAATGGTGACCGGACGAGAGACCGTGGTTCGCCATACGATTCCCACTCCCGGGATAAATATGCAAATCCTATCCTTGTGTGATGTGGGACTGACTTTTTATTGAAGTGGTCACCTTTTTGGTTATTAGTAGAAATTAATTTCGACTCCATAATCAGCAGAATGGCCCATAAATGATTATTGAAAGCAAACGAATGAAAACCGATTACAGAATTAAATGAAAGGTGTTGCACAAAAAAGTGGTTGGTCTTCACCAATGACATTAATTGGTCATTGGTCTTCACTCACCTGAAAATATAAAATTTATTTACTGGCATACATGCAACCGCAGACGTAAAATTAAATGCGAGAAAGTAAAAAATGATTTACTTCGTTAACTAATGGAGGTTGACTAGGGCAAAAACTTTCTGTGGTTTCAGTTTATGCGTTGATTTATGCGTTGTTAAACAGGCAGTGGTGATGTTCCTGCTGTGATTTGAATTGGCATTGGCAACAGAAAAGGAATGTCAAATCTGCAAGTTAGATGTGGCGATATCAAAAAAGCGGCGTACTCAAATTTAATATAAATTGTTAATTGTGTTGCGAGTGATATTAATATGATACAGAAAGATCGATTCTTAAGTTAAACTCTGAATACCACAGATACTTGTTCCAAAATTAATGGCCAACATTTCTTAGTTTGCTTCCATTTCTCGAAGTAGTCGTAAATATGCTTGACGCAGTCGTCTCACCTTCCACCCGGAGTGCACTGGTTGAAGTAACTGGCATTATGTATTAAATGATTCAGTCATGGTTGTTTTCAATTTTTCGTCATTTATTTCAGATGGACTTATGAATATGTTTTTAATGATCGGTGCTGATGTAGGCTATGTATGTTTGTTCGTCTCGTAAAAGCAATATAAAAAAGGAAAACGTACTACATCCTTCTATCTAAAAACGCCCCTCGGTCGACTCAATCTGTCATCTGTTGGAAGTAGGCTAATTCATTCCAAAAAACATCTGTTTTTTCAAAGGCCGGGCTGCGCACTGCAATGCGACTCACTGTCTTGTCCAATGGGGAAGATTTTTTCGCACTTCAGTTGATGACTATTTGTGAATAACGTCCATTTCCACAACCTTACAACCAGCGAGTCAAACTGCTATTTGACTTTCTTACATATCTTTTCATTTATTTAGAAATACTGTGCTTTCTTTGTTACATCATATCTCATGCAGTTTTGGGATTTTTTATATGGCTTAATCCTGCCGATTTGCAAACAATCTTCGGTGTCCAATTTTAAATAATAATTTTGCGATTATGTCACATCGCAGAACAACTAGGCACGAATAACCAGAATAAATTTTCAACACTTATATATTATGCATAATATTTAATATACCTATTTGTATAGTTTTTTTTTTATGTATTAGAATCAGCTCTTGTACAGTTGTTACATCAATTAACGATTCGTCAGCCAGTTAGAAAATTATTATCAACATTATTTAACCAAGCCTTTCTGACCGACCGGTTTTTCTTAACAAAACACATAGCAACTCTATCATTCTCTCTGACCATGTCCAAGAGAAAACGTATCAATTGTAAACGTAAACGTACTTTTCTATCCACTGACTGAAATCGCCAATTCACAAACGGTCTTCCGTACCAAGTCTTGAATTACAACTTTGTTCTCATGTGACATCATCAAACAGTGGCAGCACATGTGTAACTAGTCAAATTTTCCACCTTCTTATAATAAATTGTATACGGTCTTTATGACTGCGTAATTCCCTGGAGCCCAGGAGGTATTTTGGTCATACTGTTATTTCCAGGCCACGCTCTCTCAGTCCGGATGAATTGCATGCAATTGCATTCGATATCGTTTCTCCGTATTTTCAGTTAATTTGTCAGCTGTTTCCAGCATTTCAATTGAAGTTGAGCAAACTTCTTGTATTCAATCGGTTTTTCATTTTCTGTATCAGTTTATTCTCTTATTATAGACGTGGTGCATCCGTATCTGTATTTTTGCACTCTGACATACGAAAGGTTGTAAACCAGTCACCGGGCCAATACCACTGTCGTCAAATATTCATTATACGAAAAATTTCTGAATCGGTAATTTGCCGCCTCTATGTTGAATGGCATTCGTTCTTGAGTCCAGCCATTTATACGAGATGAAAGCGCATCTATTGTAGGCCTACAGTCTCCGTCTATCCAAAAAGCCCATACGTCCGCAATAATCGAAATTTTTTATATAAACCATCTTTTTTTCAAAGGTTAGGTTGCGTACACCGATGCGGCCGAATATTGTCGCCTTATCCCAGATCTGTGAATTTTGAATAATAACCATTTTCCAAAACCTTACAATCAGCGAGTTGAACTTCTACAGTACTTGTCTTTTTTCAATTTTCTTTTATATTGAAATTCTGTACTTACTTTATTACGTCATAAAGCTATTAGTTTTGAAGATTTTTATATGGCTGAATTCTGCCAATTTCCACTACAGGGGTGGTAGTACATAAGTCATATTGGGGGTGTCAAAATAGGGCTGACGAAATGAGGTCAACCAACCAAATTTCCAAGCCATATGCTCTATGATAACTTATCATTATTTGATACCATTTGCATCTACCTATATCTAGAAACTGATCAAGAAACTGATCTACTTCTGACGTAGCAGAAAAATGGTTGAAACAAACTTTCAAACCCAGTGAAACGGATGCTAGTGTTTTTCGAGCCATAAAAGCAGCAGTTTATGATTCAACTGTGGAAAACAACCGGACTTTGCCTTTATTTTTTAAACTCAGAAGGAAAAAAGATATCTTGAGCAGTGTATGGGGAAGAACAGCGAACAAAATGGCTTTGAATAAAGTCGAAATGAAATTTTTAAAATAAAGTGTGCAATATCAATTCTCTGATTAAAATAAATTTATGTTTAGCAATTATTGCTCGGTGTTTAATTATAAGTCTTTCAAATTTAGTTTTGCATATGTTATTCTTGAGAAAAATACGTATTATGGTACTGCTGGCATATAATTCGTATGGTATTCGCTAGGCCAGTGGCACACAAACTGGGGGTACTTAACTACTTAACCCAAAAGAAGATACATAGACACTTTTAGGGGGTTTCCGGGTCTTCATTGACGTAACAGTTTATTTTGTAATCGCCATATTTTCCGTCACTTTGCAGAAAAACTGGGCGCGCCGTGTTCGCATCTAGTTTGCCAAACATTGTTACATCACAATTTAGTTGGTCTCGCAGATAGTAGAGACGTGTAGTTTTCATTATTATAGCTGCAATGAAGCTTAATCTTCTGTGAAATGAAAACTGTTGAGATTGCGCCAAAGAAAAGCTATGGAGAGTCGGTTTTATAATTCGGTTTCGTGAAATTCAAGACTCAAAATCGACTTCGCAACTACAAATGTTTTTGTGTTTGTCTCCAACAGCAATATGCCACCCTTTCCATGACGTCATTACCATTTTTGATTTAATGTCATTCAACCTATTCTTTTCAATGACATTCATTAAAACAAAATATTGAGTCAAGCTTATAATTGACGAAATGACGATGATATGGAATTCCTAGGTTTGATATCACAGAAACAGTGACACCCTTCTCACTGAGATTGAATCAAGATGTTGTACTTGTATTTATGGATTCTTATGTTATTGCTGCTATTAAAGAAGATAAAATGTACGCTTGGAATTTTATTTTTAATGTTAGGGGAAATTGAGTTTATGGTAATTCAATTTTTGGGGAGCACGTATTCGGAGCTTTTCAGGTTGTGAAAATCAGGGGGTGGCAACATTTAGCTAATTGTGGGCCAAAAATCGAATCTACAACGCGGACAGAAATGATTTTCCTCAGAGAAACCCTTTCCATTTGGCATTGATATATTTTAACATACGAACCAACTAACTGGGTGTGTGTGGCGTATCTAGGGTGTGGCAAGCATGACTCGTGTCATAGTCACTGTTTGGTCAGGGGCGCAAAAAGAGCGGAAAGTTTTGTTCGTAAAATGTTTTAATAGAATAATTTCGAATTGGAAATAACTGAAACTCGTATTTCTACACAAATAATAACGTACATGTATCTCATTTGAATAACAGTCGTTATAAATTGTCAACTAACTATCAAGGCAGGCGCATTTTAAACTTTGCCATGGGCGCCATAGATTCGCCATTGCTAGGGGTAGAAAAATCACATTTTATTTCGAATATTTTCAACGAATACGGAATAGTTCCAATCTACAATCGACCAGGACGTGGCGGGTCGATAATAGATCCAGAAAGTAAACTTAATTAAAAGTAACTTATAGCATATCGTGGGGTATCTGTGGATGCCTACATAGGGTCTTGTTCGAAGCGACAAGCATTGAATAAGCATCATATGAAAAGAAATTTGGGAAGCAAGAGGAGTGACTTTCCGATACGTCTCAAATATAAGAAAGTATGTAAGTAATTATATTTTTTTGCAATTCGAATCATGATTTATTTTTAAAACAAACTTCAAAATTCATTTTTTTTTAATAATACTTAACGGGCATAATCAGAATCCGATGTTTGTGTTACCAAAATCGTAGTGTGCAATTAATCCTCAATGTATTTAATGGAAGCTGTTAAAGAAAATGGAAATTACCTTCGAAAATTTTAAACGTACAGTGTTTTCTACAGCGGTTTTATTTTGCTACAGAAATTGTACGGCTTTCCGGCGTGTCTCAAGCATTAGGTATAGGTTAACTTTTTATCATAGACTCTTTTAAATTTATTTCCCTTAACGTTCCGAAACGAGGAGAATTTTGCTCAGTATTTGCTGAAATACAGCTACTAATATTGTGTATTTCTTTATTATTAAGATTACTATATTGGATAATTATAACACACTTAAATTGTACAAAAGTTGAGTGCTCATGATCCATCAAGTCCATCAAATAGGCGAAGGGGAGTCTTAACGATAAAGGTTGGAACACTGCTCTAAAATTACTCTTACTCTTTGCAAGTGGCCGTGTTTCATAAATTGAATTTAATTCACCCTGAAATTAATTGCTATCATTTATTCCAAGCCGAAACATTCTATTTGTACCTGCATAGGCAGGTTAACGTAAATGAAATAAAAATGAATGAAAAATAACATTGGCGGAGGTCATTTCACTTTTGCTGAAATCATAAAGGCGTTTTTAATTGGGCTGGAATATTTCGGATTCGATATTTTCTTAACTTGTATATTAATGCAGGTTATGTCCTGATTACGAGGATAAGCGAAAGCGAAAGCGAATCTCACGAATCGAGAGTTTGTTGAAGTAAGTGTAGATATATATATTTGTCTTTCCATATTTATCACAGTGGAGAAGATATCCGTGAGACCCCCCCCCCCCCCCTCTCAAAAATAACTTGCTCAAACTCAAACTTTAGTCACCGTGAACAAATTTATGGTTTACCCAGCGCCTTTACTAACTAGGGCAATTAAGAACTTAGAAACAAAGGTCTAAGGTCTAATATTTACGTATCATCTCAAAGAACTTGTGAAAAAAAAATTATTTTTAAAGTCATTTATGATGAATGATAAATATTAGAACTTAGATCTTTGCCCTCACGTTCCTCCTTGGCCTAGTTGGTAAAGGCGGTTGATATACCTTTAGTATACCTTACGTTCAGGGCGACCAAAGTTTGAATCCCGCGAACTTACTGTCCCGTATCAATTTCGTGTCGTCATTGATTGGATTACGCAGATGTATGAAGGAGGCTCCGACTTATAAGAAGATAGAAATCCCAAAATAAACGAAAATGAAGGTTCAGACCTTGGAAAATGGAGATTTTTGAAATTTATATTCGGGCCATGCATGACCAGGCATGATTGTGGATATATTTCAGAAATTATACTCGATTTATCTACGGCCAATGGTCGGCCATACATAAAAATAAGTCGCGTCGTTTCGGCACGGATCCAGCGCCGGCCGGCCTGCCCCAAAATACCGCTGCTCGCTAGGGTGACGTCATAACCTAGTGACGTCATACGCATGCTAGTTTATCCCGAACAACTATTCGAAACCTGACAAACCAAGCCCAGACTCCGAGCAAGCATGGAAATATTTTCTCATCGGTTATATTTATTTATTAATATCCATTAATTAACAAAAAGAAATAAAACTTCTTAAATTATGTTAAAATAACAAAAAATGCAAAGATTCTAGGCACAGAACGACGGAATTTGTGACGAGTACAGGAACCTTACTAACTTACAAGATACCGTATTCGAATAAATCTTGCGCTTATATCTATGATAGCAGTCTACGAGCTGATGATAGTTATTTGATGGCAGCCATCATCAAGAAATCTCTGTGTCCCGAACCAATCAATATTCAATACCTATTATGACCTTCTTCTAAAACCCGGATACAGAACTGATTAAAATAAAATGGAAAATACGATTGGTACAATTCTAAAACACTCCATATCAAGATAAAACTGCCATTAATCATCTTTTACTTCCGTCCAGTACGCACCTGAAATATATAAAAACTAGTTTAACAGCGTTGGAAGAAATATTTCACAAACCGCCATGATTTTAATTAAAATATAACCTCTGGACTAAAATTGCTACCCCCAATTCCATAATCTGCAATTAAAATTACGAGTAAAACACCCATATGCCTGGGATTGAATTTAAAAAGCATCACTTGTGATTCGATAACAGCGAAAATTTACAGCATTCGAAATTTCTCCGCAAATTGATTCTATAACCTTAAAGCGGAGGTTGGCAACCTTTTGTCGCTCGTGGGCCAAAATTAGGGGTTGAAAACCGAACGGATGATACTTTTTATAATAAAAATCAAGCATACATCTATCGAATAATCCGGATCTGGCCCGCGGGTCGTAGACTGCCGCCCCCTGCCTTAAAGGGATGTAATGGAGTAGCCATAGACAGGGACGCGCCAAACTTTTCTGCTGCCCAGGCGAGTTTCCGATAAGGGTGCCCCTTATACCCAATTTGAAAAAGGATTTGGGGATAAACAAATTATAGCTAGGCGAATATACAAAAATTCTAAACTGAAGCTAAAATTGGATATTAAAGATATCGATAAAGTAATTGGTTGAATAATTTTTTTACTATATTTCACGCCTTTATAAAAAGAAATGGAATAATTACTTACTTTATCCATACTTGTAATATTGAGTTTGCCTTGATTAGCCGTTCCCGGCATAATCTGAATGATAAGTTAAAGTTTAAAAATCCAGATTTTTTTCACAAGGATAACAGCTATTCACATATCAGTGGCTATTTGACGAAGTGCGCTGTTATGAGGGACGGGCACGCTGTTTTCTTCCAGATTTTTTTCACAAGGATAACAGCTATTCACATATCAGTGGCTATTTGACGAAGTGCGCTGTTATGAGGGACGGGCACGCTGTTTTCTTCCAGATTTTTTTCACAAGGATAACAGCTATTCACATATCAGTGGCTATTTGACGAAGTGCGCTGTTATGAGGGACGGGCACGCTGTTTTCTTCCCAGTGAGTTATTGATGAAACATGATTCTTATTGCGAGTGACGACTTGACGAACTGACTGAGTGATGGATTCTATGTTTTCAGTAATTTGTATGCCTTGAAGACTTATTAAAATAAAAGTTTGCATACGATATCTTCTTAGTAATCAAGATTCAATTGTTAAGTTATCAGGTATTCCCGGCTTTAGTATTTAATGCCAGTTTAGCAGGTGCTCCCGAAGTATGTGCACCAAAATGGCATGTGTATTGTGCGCAGAACGACCCAACACGCAGTGGAATGGATCTGTGGCCATTTGACGTGGTGTGCTGTTATTAGTGATTGACAGACGATCACTGACTAGTTGAGTTATTGATAAAACATGATTCTTATTGTGGGTGACAACTCGGCGCCAACTGACTGGGTGATGAAATTAGCAAGTATTCAAAAATGTTCAGCTTTAGTAGTTAATGTCGGTTCGGCACGACCCAACACGCAGGGGAATAGATACATCGAAAAAAAATTACAAACTACAGCTATCCCGAGACCAAGATATGATTTTTGGAGAATATACGGGTGAAATATTTCGTTCCAGCTCCGTCTCCACATTGAGCATTGCTATCTTGTTTCTTCAAAATCTCATTTTGCATTTGTATGCCTGCTATATAAAAGCATTTGGTGTAAGAATATTGTGGTTTAAGTTTTAGGTCATTAGCATAAAGATTATAGCAGTATAGCATTATTCTCCAACCTTTACAATTGTAATACGCAACAATATTGTGATGTAAAAAGTTAAGAGATGTACACAACTACATTAGCATAACCCCAAAATCAGAACTTATTAGGCATCATACGTGTGTTTATGTAGTGTAGAACAAATTATGATCACAATCGTTTAAATAAAAAGAGGAAAACTCGTGGAAAAGCGCAAGTTTTGTTGTAAAATTTTGTTGTCAGTGAAGCGCTTTCAATATTCGAATGTTTACACTGTACAAACAACACGAACCAACAATTTAGGAAATTATGTTTTACGTACACGCCTTTCCCTCTGAGTAAAATATTGTTCATAAAAAATGAAGCAGACCCACCTGTCCATTTACATCGATCAATTGCCACTCGGTCATCAGCAGTAACAATATCTTCTACCTTCACAAAGACCCGTAATTGAATTGGAAATTATAAAACCTTCGCTCTATAATCAAGTTGTGATAAAAACCTTAGATTTTGTAACATTTTTAGACCAACTACCTACCTTTCCATTTACATCGACCAATCTTTACTCGACCGCCAGCAGTAACAATATCTCCCTTCTTCGCAAAGTCCTGTTTTAGATTAAAAATTATAAGGCTTTTACTTATAATCAAGTTATGATAAAACTGATACTTTAGATCAGTTACCTTTCTACCTACATCAATCAGTCGTCACTCCACCATCAATCATGCCAATATCATATATCGGTAGATTTTTCTTCACTTTTAAGCCTGTAATTTGAAAATAATAGTTATGGCTTACTTTTTAGCGATGATACAAAGTTCTTGTGCAAAGTAGGAAAATTATAAACAGCACGTTGACGCGGTTTATAACTGACAAAAAATATAATCAGAAAACAAGACTTGGTTCATAAAGAAAAACGTTGCAAAACACGTAAATAAATACACTCGAAAGGTATATAAGAGAAGAAACAAGAACTCAATGCTGAAATCTATATTCATCATATACCACTCAAAATTCTGAATATGACTAAAAAAATGCGCTACCCAATTGTATCAAAATAGATTATTATTTATACAATTCAAGTTCTAGCTTATATATGCATGAAGAATGGGAATAATTAGTTGACTTAATTATATCTAGACCTTCCTTCCCTGCTTTAAAACTGTGAATATTCCTGGCCCAGATCAGCGCAGAAACGACCTCACACTACCACGCCCTGAACCGAATGTGGCGCGCGCAAAATTTACAGTAATCTCTATCTCACTCTAATCAGTGACCAATGATTGTTGTTTACTAGTGGAAATAAAGAACGTAGATTTATTTGGGATGTGACTGAGAAGATTGTCTGATTAAACCACATTTCATGGAAACTTTATGACACTTATTTATTTGTTGTTAGTCTATTTGTGTTCCGTTATAAGCCCAGTCTCGACTGAAAATGGAGTTGCCGACTGCTACAATTGCGAACAACTTATAGAAGTTCGACGTGTTAAATGAGTTATACTTTGGCTAAAGGGACAATTTGAGTTTTGGCCTAATTAGCATGAGCGTGTGATTATTTACAGCGATCTGTAGGATGAGTGATTTTTCCGAATTAGGAGAAGTTTTTCGACTAGTTTAGATCTATCTGAATCATCAGTTTGTTCAAATTACTAATATTTCCTACAACCTAATTACTAATCACCTAATATTTACTAGGTTCGTTTATCACTGTCCCCAATATTGATTAGGCGAAGGATACCGATACCCCGATTATTTCCATCCTTTTTTCTGGACCGGTGGATATTCTGAACAGAACATAACATATAGTGCTTTCTTCTGGCCATGTTATACGAAAAGAAAACTTATCATTTGTATGATCTCTTTCGATCGACACACGCCTCTACCTCATCCCATCTGTTGAAAGTTATATATACTTGAAAACACCTTTTTTACAAAAGCGAAGTTTCTCTTCGCCCTTGAGTTGATGACAATTTTGAATAAGTCCATTCCAACAACTTAAAATCGGCGAGTCTAATTGCTATTTGACCCAAATTTTTGTCACTTTATTTGAAAATAATACCTGTCTTTATGCCGTCATAATATAAAATATGATGACACAGGTTTATACAGTATTAGTAATCGTCTCCAATATAAATATGTGTAATAATGTGCGTCTGTGGGAATATTTCTTTAATAGCGTTATGCGCTATATACAAAATGCCACCATATCTAAATCTAAAGCACATATATTGCAATATGTACTGTAATCGTCGTTGGGACTTGGTTAGTAGTTGGCATTCAAAAATATGAAATCGTTTCTAATTCTAATCTAACATTAAAATTAAAAAAATATATATATAACTCGTTACGTATTGCTCTGAGTTCGACGGTGTTACAACATCATGCCCTCGGGGCACCAAACTATTATTATCAATGACCACTGATTTAGACAAAATAAGCGAAATGAAGATAGAGGGTGATTTTCAACAATACGATATGCGTGTGGTGTTACTTGGATTCCGTCAACCTGTATTGAACTGTTTATTTATATTTGACAATATGATATCGATAAATGTACAGTATTCGGAAAACTGCACATCCAATACCAGTGAGATCAATAATTAGGCGGCAGATGAGTAGAAAATATCCAACAACAGTACTAGAAAGTATCCAACAACAGTACTACTAAACTTGTGTTAATATCGGGAAAATGTACTTATTTACGATTCTGATTCATTACAAAATCATTTCCATTTAAGTGATGCAAAATTAACAGTAATTGCTAGTTTGCACCAAAGCCTAATATTAGCAACGTTTCAAGATATTTGAATAAATATAATTCGGAATAGAAATTTTAGGTGGGTATGGTTTCTACGCTCACAGCGGGTAATATCTGCCACTATTCAACACCCGGGCGCTGCCGAATCTTCCATTCTATCATGAGCATAAATACTGACGAATATCCTAAATAAAGTCGAAACAGCTTCGGTATCGGTATCCGGACTACACCAGTTTTTCCAGAACCTATGACGACTTGAAGTTGAGTATTCAGTCTCGATTGCCAAATCTCAAGTACCACCGCAAACCAAATTCCTATATCAGTAAATCTCTATTTTTCTATTAACTAGGGAGAACCCAGAACTGATGATATTCACATAAGGCGGTACCAATTATTCGTTGACCTCCGATGACAAGTAGGCCTATCCATCGCTGGTTGTATATATAGCCCAGGCGATGATACTATTTTATAACAATAGCCCCTCAACTAGACACAAAACAATGCGTATAAATTAATTTATTTACACCGCAAATTCACAATAAAAATACTTTGCTATACCGGGCGATATGTGAAAATACAAGTACAAAACGGTGTGGTTCTTAAATTAGAAAAAAAAAGAGAACAAAAAAAATAAAGACAAAAAAAATATCATCGACGATAATATGCACGGCATCGTAGCTAAAAAGAGTTTTAAGCATATTAATATAAGTGATGTAAAAGTATCTAAAAATATGGGAACATAATTCATATTATTAATTGAAAAAATAAGTATCCAAGCAAGCAGTACTTTTCATGCTCAATTCAACAACGGCTAAGCAAAGCAGGCATGTATCGACAAAGAATTGTTAAATGTATGAATAAGCAAAACAAACATACAACGATTTTCCATAAATAAAGCAAGCCTAATGCACACATGTATATAATCAAAAATGCTAACGCCTGCAGGATATCACACTTTGAATAGTCCAGCAGAACAATATGCAACATACATGAAGATTACCTTTTAATGAACGTAATGGTGACCTGGTATTATATCCAACATAAAAAGCACATACAATCAAAAGAGACATTTCTTTGGTGGTATGGTATACAAGGCAATTTTTAATATGGCAATAAGTAAGTACCTTATTATGACTTCAACATATTCAAATCAGGAAATGTTAAACAGTGAATGTAAACTCAAAATAGAATATGCATCTGCTAAACACAATGACTTTAGCAAATACAGCAAGAATGAGCTTTGACTTTCCTTTAGAAATCACAAAGATTGAAAACATTTCTAGTAATATGCTGCAGCAATCCTTATACTTCATATTAACACAATGCCCCGTTTCAATTTTAAATTTGTCATGAAGTCAGTTCTCAAAATTTTGACATTGTAACAAGACTTTCGCAACACCCTGTACAATTAAGGGGGAAAAGACAAACATATAGAACATTATCAAATTACGAAAACTCCTCAATCTCTTTCAAAATTTATCTAAAATTTCAATCAATTTTTTGACATAAATCATCAAATTTATCCAATTATTATCAGTCCAGCAGATCAGAATTCAACTATTTAGTATTTCACTGCACCAAAACCACCAATCATACAATCATCATCCCGTTATAAATCAAGATTGGAACAAAATTGCAAGTCACTACATTATCATTTAAACAACTACAATTTAATTGATAACTTTGATAATACTGCATAAAGACATTCTTCTACATTTCAAATGGGTATTTCATTCAAGTAACGAAGTATCAATGAAATAAACAAAGACAACTGAAACAATTTTCTGACGTCAATTCATTGGATGACAGAGATAAATATTCAAACCATCTTACAGAATATAAAAGTTCAAACAACAGCAAAGACATTCAACCACAATAATAAGGATCTGAAACAAGGTCAACAAGTTCAAATAAGATTTAAATTTACTGATACTTATCTTTTGAGGATCGAGAAAACAGCCATTATATTCCTATTTGCATCTATAAACCCTGCTTAAACAGTATTTTTTGTATTGGAAAACATAAATTAAAATTTTCAGATGGAGAATGGATGTTAAAAAAGCAATAAATTGGATTTATATTTTTTACCTGTAAGGTACAACTATAACCAGAATAATTTGAACTAAAGAGTAGCTAAAAACTGATGTCACTCAAAATTAACTTTAATTAATTTATACTGGAAAATTAAACTATCTGCACAATTAATGAGAATTAGAACATTACTTGAAAGCCATTACTGGTTTCAGAATAATGAAAACAATTGAAGTTGTCAAAAAAACTATTCATATTGAGCTGAACTAAAAAAATGTTATCACATTTCCTGGTATATTATTTTGAAGTGTATGTTCAGAATTAGAAGATGTAAATCTTATTATTTCTAGATCGGCTTTTTATATGACTATCTTCAATAGATCAGAAGAGTCATAGAGACTCAAAGAACTTGAATTATTATTTCTAACGTTAGAGCTTTCAAAATATGAAGACCTACTGCACAATTTACAGGATATCTTAGTGCTGAGATTTAAAGTCCTAAATTTGATGAAAATTTACCCCCTGGGATGGTGTAATTGTAATGTTTCATCATATAAAGTAAACATAGGATCATGAGTCTATCAACTTCATACAAGTTGAAATTGTAAATGTGCTCCATTATATGAAAAACAATTCAAGATTGTTAATTGTCAGCATTCATAAAGCAATTAATGATAAATAATTTTGAATCCTTTGATTTAGCAAAGTTCAACTTGACAACAACATTCAATAGCAACAATTGCAGACACAGTAACATCCACACACAGTAAGAAAATAGAATAAAAATTGGTGAGAAAATAAGAGAATTAAGATGAAAAGGCAAATTTCGCTGGCAAAATAAGAATAGCGCACAAATAAGATTCAGGTACAACAATAGAAATAAATGAGACAGCAATAATAGCTAGATCGTTACAAAAAAAAACATGCGCCTACATTAAATAGATCTCCACAGCCATCAAATGCGTAAACTTAAAAAGTTGATGAGATTTAAATTTTCAACTAGAAAATGAAGCTGTGCAAACTTTGTTACATAATCTACTGGACGATGCAATTCACAAAACATATCTATTGCATATTATATTAGCAGGCTACAAACTATTCTACAACACAAGCGGTAAAATTTATCGTAAAATTATCTGGTCATGAACGGGACAATGCTAAATTCGAGAAAGCTCGACAAAACAATATAACAAAACCAACAGAAATAATAGGAAACTCATTACATGAACTTTCAGAATTCGTTTCAGGCTAAATTTCACATTAACATTATCAGTAATATGAGCCCAAGTGGTGGCAAGCAAGCATACTCTATTTCTGAGAGCGAAAGATACATTCAAGTTAGAATCGGGGATGTGCAATTCGAAATAAACTCAATTCTTCGATACTCGAATCAAACCCAGAATATCGAATCATAATGTAGGCTATATTTATAACTTTGTGGCTAGGTTAGATCAATTTCCACCGAAACCGATGTTAAAATTATCATTTTAGTTTAGTGGGCTCAACAAAATACATGATCAATTCTTATTTCACTCCTGAGCAAGCCATGATTGAATATGAATATTTGCAGAACGCTCCCGTGTCAATTGCGCAATATTTGCCACCAATTGCATAGAGCCACCCAATGCAGATTGCACAGTTATTTTTATGGTAAGAGAGACAGAAATCCACTGTACAGGTTGCGGGTCATTTTATATAATCTACACCTATCTTTGAGACAACTTCTCTCATTACTGAAACAACTGTGCTTATGATGGGGCAAGCTGAAGTTAGATTTCATAAGGAACTTGAAGCAGGGTAAAAATGAATTCATATTTGCTATACTCTTGCTGCGTATTTCACTGTGTTATAAAATTCTGTCCTAAATCATTTGTAGTCCTATTATTAGATGTTGAACTGCTACATCCTTGTGTCGTATCAAGGGATCGTCGATTGTGTTTTGTCGCATTTTGATTCGCGAACATTTGCTCTAGAATAGATGGATGAATTTGTGACACGTTTGTCAATTGCAGGCTGTGATTGTCAAATTTTGTTTGTATGATGTCATCTGACGGAGCACAGAGCAGCCTTAAAATTTCAGCACTTGTTTCATTATCATTAGTAACTTGTTGTAATTGTTCTGTATTAGCTGGAGCTGTAAATGAATTCTGAATCGGGAACTGATCAAGAGATACAGTGTTTAAATTGTTTTCAACATTAGGCTGATTGAGTGTAAAAATGTCATCATTTTGTAAAATGAAATTTTCCGTTTGACCGCTTGATAAACGATTCGACAATGAACCTGCGCTTTGCTCATGATGCTGTTGTTGTTGTTGTGAGGGTGCAAAATGTTTTGACTTCGCTGTGGTAATATTCAATGTAGATGCGTCATTAGACATCACAAAGTTGTTATTACTATTCATATTCTTCAAATGTTGTGAGATCTGATTGCCTGAGAGGAAAAAGATAAATCGAAAGATATATTGAAGTGTAAATGGAATATATATTGAGTTTAAGAGCTACAATATAGGCTGAGGAATCATAAACAGGTGTTTTGTTGATATTGAAGTTGGAGTGAAATTTTTAATGTTCCTGGATGTCAAAGTAATTGAACTTTGAACCTCCTGTCCAGTCTAATGTCAGAAAATTCAGACAACATATTCTTAAGAAAATAAAAAAAAATTAATAATCAAAATAATCAAAACTCAAATTTTAATTTATTTGAAATTTCTTGAACCTTGAATAGTAGTTGAAAATTTAGTGAATTGTACTGGGATGAAAATTTTTTTAAACTTCCAAATCTAGATAACAGTAACCTACACAAGGCAACCAAAATTACTACTCAAATGTATTTGATTTTTTATATGATGCCCATTCATGCCTGCCCCAAACAAGGCCCAGCACAAGCAGTAATTGATAAGCGAAGAGCTGGAAATTTTCCGATTCGACATTGCCTACCTAATTTATTACACCCTGAATGAAGTGGCGGGCCTGGAATTTGAACCCGAGTCTTGTAACCTGCAATACCAACACAGTTAAGTCTGACACTTTAATCGTTAGGCCATCGTGACCAATTAATGTAGGGTACCTTTTAAAAATTTGCAAATGCATCATCTTACTAATATAATACATACTGGTACCTGTAAAATTCTGATCTTCCCCTGTAACAGTGAGAGCTCCTATATTACCAGACAGTGTTACACTGTGAGAACCGGTCTTCAATAATACATTACTAGCAATTGAATTGATACCGTTTGGCAACTGTACCGTAACTGGACTGCTATCGATGTGCTACAAAAAAGATAAATTGAATATTAAATAATGCTTACGTCAAATAACGAAATGACAGATTGTAGATGAATACACAAACATTAATAAACATGATCAGAAATTCTTTGAGGAAAGTAACTAGGACTGCTAAACCAGGAGGAGGGGGAGAGGATTGATGATGAGACGGCTTAATCATATGGTGACCCTGGCCAGTGCTGGGCATTTTAAATCGAATATTGGAATCGAATTGAATTGTAAATTATTCAGATCGAATTGGCGCCATCTTGTTTTTTTATCGGCCGCCAAAGGTCGGGATGAATTCCTCATTTTTACAATGAAATTCTGACATATGAATCTTTCTTGCGAGTTATTGATGAAACATGTTTCTTATTGTATGTGAGCGGTCACTGTGTATGTGACCGAGTCACGGATTCCATGTTTTCAGTAATTTTTTGTGCCTGGAGAAATCATTCAAATAAGATCATATACAATTGAATTTCTTTTATGTATTCAAGATTCTATTCGAAAAAAAATATTCTGATATCATCAGGTATTCGAAAATGCCAAGCCCTAACCACGGCATCCGGTTACCAGTCCATGTCTGGTATGGGATATGACGAGCCAACCAGTTACCTATCAGTCCTGTTTAATGTGGAATAGTGAAACAGTTAAGAATCCCACATATTCATGCATTTAAATAAAGTCATAATCGGGAAAGTTTATATGACCCACCACTTGTGATAGCAATGAGTTAAGTAATACTCCGGAGGCAATTTATTTTTTCTTTGTTTCATTAATTCGCTTTGAACAACAATCTAGACCAGTGGTTTTCAAGCGGTGGAGCGCACCCCACAAGGGGGTGGGGAAGACTATGTTTCGAGGGAGGCATAAAGCTAATTTAAAATAAAAATATTAGTTAGTTAAAATATTAGTTAAAATATCTTGCCCGTCTTATCTCGGATATTTAAATTTTAAAACTTTTCATTTATTTCCTTATTTACCGGTACGTTCCATCCACATATTTTAAACATGTTTTTTGCATAAAACATACTTTCACCTTACTATCTGTTATTTGTAACTTATTGTTAGCTAGTTATTTTTATATAAGGGGTGGGGTGCGAGATTTGACAACTTATAAAAAGAGGCTCAGCAAAATGTTTAAGAAAAACTGATCTAGATAGTGAAACATTGGCTTTCAGGACCCGCTATGATTTCGAAAGACCGAAGTCTTCCCAGTTTGACTATAACTTACCTAAATTTAATAAACTGGAGGGTATGTTTAAGTGAAAAGCTGGACATGCAGTTTGAAAGCAAAATCTTCAGCCTGCGATGCCAAAATAGTTGAGTCTAATAGAAAGCACAGGCCCACTGCACTGATTAAAGTCATATTGTAATTTTAAGCAAAGTTGGAGTTTCCAATATAGTAACATGGGGGAAAGTTTGACTAGAAAAGAAAAGGTCTTCATACCAATTGAGAAACACTGTTCACACCATTTTTTATTTCGAGTATTGTTATCCTAATAACTGAACATTTACGAAATCCATATTGAATACACATTTGTACAGTGTCAGACTATCAATGGCACATACCTCTGCAAGCAACGGTTCCAAATGATTCTGTGCAACCGTACCATATTTTGTTATTGCACTTTTGGATTTTGCTTTCAGTGGACGAGACTGTGAAATAAAAAAAACTTAACTATTGTATAAGAGTGTAAAATTTGATATAATAAAATTTTCAAATTGTGAAGAAACTTGAGACACTTACATGCATTCTAGAAGAGAGTTGATGACTTGACCAGGTAAAACTCATTCATTATTATCACGAGTTCAGTATGAGATATATATTCATTTAAACCAGGGGTGTGCAACATGCTGCATTGCGGCCCGTGGGCCAAATGCGGCCCTCAGTAAAAAATTCTGCGGCCCGTGAAGATATGCCAATTTGAATGAGGTGCAGCAAACAAATTTTAATTCACCCGTAGTTTAATCTACTCCATGCAAGTAATTTCAATTCGTTTCCTAGGCTTGTGCGAAGCAAACAACGCATATCGTAAGACTAATAACCAGTTTTTGGACCCGCAAATACTAGAAAGCCTATCTTAAATAAAGGTGCAACCGGCGGATTCACCCAGTTATTTGTAATTGACATTTCTGTATTGAAGGTTGCACACCTCTGATCTGAATGAAAAAATTTTCAACTAGAAAATAAGATTTGGACACCTATGAACATGTGAATCGGCGTTTACTGGAAATTCTGTTTAGTTTCAGAATTCTTGGCAAAGCAGAGGTTACCCAATACTAAATATCCAATGCTTAAGCAAATTATCTTAAAGAAAGACTCACCAAGTTATGATTATGCTTTTCATTTCGGCTGATAGAGACAGTGTTACAGGTTCCGACAGAAGATGGATTGGAAATCATTTGCATAACATTTGGTGACTCAATTGGCATTGAATTGTTCGAATGATCGCTGAGAACAAAGTGAGGAGAAGAAGACACAACTTCCGCATTAATAACAGTTCGACCAGAATCGCTATTACTACTCATCCTTCTTCTTATCAAATTTGATGTTTGCTCAGATTTATTATTATTCCTCAAATTGGCTTCAGAGTGGTCTACACTAGGTGGAGCAAGATTAGAAAGCTTTCGATTTATTTTAGTCCTCGGTTTTTGTACAGGAGTTGGAGTCGTTTGAAACAATTCTAAGTTTTGAATCCCTGATAACTCAACAGGATTTAATAAAGTCATATTGTTTTGATTACTCGATTGACTGAATAAACTGTTGGTTTGGTGCAAATTGCTCAAACTTGTTGTTGAGGTGGTTAAAAAATTAGGTTTTAAAAAGTTTGTTGGTTGAAAATTTTCATTGCCGACAGTAGAAGTTGCCCCGCCGATAGGTGTAAATGAAAATGGCTTCGGTGGCTTTTGCGTCTTGCCTACGAACTTTTGCACGTTTGATGAAAAAGATTCAAGTTGTCGTTCCAACTTTCTGCTATAAGACACTTGACAAGTTCCTAGCCTCCTTGCTGGATGACAGGGCATCTGTTTTAAAATAGAAATCATTCACTTATCACAAAATAGCTAAGGAAGAGTGCAAAATATAATGATGAGAAGATAAAGTTATTGTCATAATGCTAAACTAGCCAAAAATTAATGAGATGCCACAAACTTAAGAAAAAACCATGGCCTTAAGGACACCAGAGTAAAAATACAAAAAGTGAGAGCTTTCCAGAAGAATTTTCTTATATGACACTCATCCATGGCCTTCGCTTTATACAAGCCAACACCAGTCAAGATTGTGAAGACAATAAGATATCCAGTATATGCCACGAAACAGCGCTGTGGAATCGGAGACAATTTACAATCAACTACAACTGCAGGAACAAAGTTGGAAAAATTTTGTTTCTAATTCATGGCTTCTGGTTCTAAATGGTTTCGAACCCGTGGGCAGTTCCAAGAAAATAAATTTTAATAGCGAAAACTTCAGCATATATGTGTGCCACCTCTGAAGGACGTGGTGTGGCGCATCGTGCTAGGCGTTAAGAATACACTTGCCACCACACTCTGATTACCCCGAGTGGGTTAGCAGGTTCGAATACTGTGGGGGATAATTATGTGCGAGAAGATTGCTGGACTCCTCGCCGCAGTAGGGTCGTTCACGCAATCATTGGTTGATTACGGCTTTTTCCATCAAAAAACTGGCTAACTAAACCCATGAACGACATGGATGGGTAACCAAGAGGCCGAGGTTTGCCATATGATTAAGCTGCCTTATCGGCTTTTCTATCCCCGGGATAAATATGTAAATCCTATGCTAAAGCTCAATGAACTTTTTTTAATTTTTGTTATTTGAGTATTTTGTTATTTTGGAGTATTTTGACTTATTTTATAACCAATAAAAGTCTGCAATTCCAAATCAGACTTCTGGGTTATTCAGAATTCAGAAACTTTCAAAGTTTGAAAACACGAATCCATCAAAACATGCGAAACTTCGACTCGACAGACATCTATGAGTAATTATGCTATCAAAAAAATTTGAAAAACATTTACCGTTATTGGTAGAGGATGTTGTGATAAATATGAACATGAACTGGTAGAAATTGATGGTTCTTCAATTGCTTCATCATTATCCCAACAATATATGTGCCATGGTGAGTATATCCTGAAAAACAAATCAACATGATATCAAAATAACAACTTGGTTGAAAAACGAAGTAAGACATATTGTCAAGAATGAGGAAGTTTTACCTAGGAGTTAAATGTAGCATCCATTCATACCAATACCAATCATGATCTTAATTAAAAAATTAAAAAACCATAACAGAGCAACATTGAATCTATAATAGTGCTAGACCAGGTGTGTGCACCTGCGGCCCACGGCCAAGTGTGGGTCTCATAGAAAAATTGTGCGGCCCGTAAAGAAATGACAATTTTGAATGATATGCAGCCCACGATACAAGTTTTTAATTTAATTTGGCAAGTGCGAGTAATTCTAATCCCTATGTGCTGGGAAGCCGATAGCTTGGTCCAATTTGTTATCTATGCATATAACTTCACAATGCCTTAACTGCTAGCTTGTTCCAACAACGCATGTTGCAAGATTAATAACCAAACTTTTTGTGCCTGCAACTACTAGAGAGCCTATGTTGAGTTGCGGCTCGCGGTTTCACCCAGTTATTTTCTTCTGGCCTTCCTGTAATAAAGGTTGCACACCCCTGTGCTAAACTCAATGATCGGCAAGTTGTGGAAGTGTTAGAAACACAGACATAATATCAGCTTGCTACACACTATATACCTCAGTCATTTAATATACAAATAATACTGTAGCCTACATGTCAGTGGCCAGAGCAACTTAATAATGACTCCATACCCAACCTAGATTGGTCAAATGGCAACTCGGTAATTTCCCATAATATGATGAGGGCGTCTTGTCATTTTTCTCTTTTTAATATAAATATGAACGCCATATCCTATTGGCATACTTACTTAGGAAACAAGCTTATAGAAGTTTTGGTCTTCGATGTTGAAGTAGCTGACACAGCAGGTTGCGATATTGGTGTTGTCATGGTTACACTCGTAGTCGAAGAAGGAGAAGACACAATTATTGGCTTGGTATTGGGTGAAGGTATGGTGAATTCAACTGTTGCAGTAGAAGATATAGGCATGGGTGGGTTTACGTTGGCAGGTTGAGATGACAATACTAAACAAAGAAAGTATATTTACAGATTGGTATTGATTAATAGAAAGTGAGACTTTGAAGAATTTTTTGTTATTTAATATGAGACCTTCAACAATTCAAAACAGAAATTGATCAAAAAAAGTTGATACACAAAATCCTATGGAACTATCATTAGGACAAGATCATATCAATTAGGTGATCGCAATTGCTAATGGTTGAGGCATTGGATTCAACTATGCTGCTGACCTAACGAATTAGATAAATAAATATCTTGAGTTCAAAGTTTATATCTATCACTTCAGAGGTAAAAAACTTGAGTTCCCATAATTACAAATGCATAGTATGTCTTAACATACTGATGGCTGCTTGTTTAAAGCCGTTAAGTAAGGTGTTGAGGATGAAAATTTTGACCAAACTTGACCAAATGGTAGCCTTGAGATTTATGAATAGCAAATGTAATCAAGAAACCAACAAAAGTGACTGTTGAAATGAAACTTGAATTTAAAATTTTGACAGAAGTCTGACAAAGATGGATATAGGTTGGTAAAATTTGGCACATCTATTTTTAGGAAAACTGAAAAAAATTGTCATCTTCGGAATTTGGCAAATGGTCAAAAAAATAAGTATTGTAATAGCATATAGAGAGATGCAAAAAATGTTTAAAAAGTATTTATCAAAACACTTAGTGGCAAGTTTGTGCTAAAAATACATTTGGATAGTTTATTTAATTGCCATTTGATATTTCATAAACATATAATGGTCACAATAATTTGATTGTAATAAAATCATCCTAAATTAATGATTTCATGGTTAACTGGCTATGGATTGAAAAAGGCCTAATCAATAATAAACTAATTCATTATGACAATTGAATCATTTGTGAAAACATGGAACGGGGAACATACCTCCATTTTACATAAAAAAAATTGAAAAATATACAGTATATTTAATAGTTTTTCAGCCAAAATTTTAATTTCCATAAAAAAAAAACTTTCTTGTAACTATTACACATTATACACTGATATACAGGGTGTTCATAAAGTCATATTTCATAAAGTCCTACAATTTGAAACTTCATTAAGCGTTATTGAGTTATTGTTTTATTTTAATCAGTGTAAATTTAATTTTTTTACTTTATTTAATACACCTTTATATGCCCATTGAAGCACATCAAAGTTCATTTATCTAATCTAATACAAAACTTTATAACACCCTGGACATCTGTGAGAGGTGGCAATAATAAAAATATCTGAAGATGATGAAATTGTGTACAATACGGTAACTTACATGTTTTCTCTTTTGACCTTTGTTTTTCTCTCCTATGTTCCTGATTTAGCTCATCAAATTGCTTGCTTCGACCTGTATAAGAGACAAAAAAATGAAGAAATAAGGTTATAAACCTTGAAACAAATGAAGATCTGACAGAGAAAATCGTTCAAATTTTTTTATATTTGGGGGGGGGGGGAGAGAGCATGAGGTGGACCTATGAATCATTTTACTATATCAATTTAGTTAGGAGTGGTGCAAAAATGACTGCTTTCACTGACCATTTACCCTCAAATATTCAGTAGTTGACGCTGGTAATGTCTACTAGCAAGAAAAGTATTTCTATAATATTTTTCAAATATCCTTAGGGTATTTTTTTTTTACCCCAAATTTTGCTGTTTTTCATCTAGACCAGAGAAACAGAATTATTGATAACACTGATGGTGTACGGAAAAGGTCTAATATATTTGAGCAACGTCTCTAGTTATATGGATATTTAAAAATTCCTATATCAAATAGAATATATCCTACATTTAGGCAATTAGAAGACTGTAGAAGTTGCTAGGGAGCTCCTGAGCATTAAAAAGCAGAAATCCTACTAGTTAAACTCAAGTAGGAATGAAAACATAGAAACTCTAATTTGATATGTCAAAATATCTTATCTAGAATTATCGTAAACATTACACTTAGTCTTCTAAATATTATTACCTTCCTAAAATATTATGGCAATGCTAATTAACGGTTTAATGGTTAGCTAAAAGCATTAGTAAGTTGAATTTGCGTACTACAGTTTATGAGATTGCTTTCTACATTGTAAACATAGAAAAACATAGTAACTTCCCTCAGAGATAAATCTCCTTTACTTGTGAGTGATTGCACATTCCATTGCTTTCAGCAGATTTTTTTTTAAACGGTGCTCTGAACACGGCTCTGCACAAGCAGTTCCTGCTAGTTTAGTTTGGAAGAACCGAAGTCTTTCCGAATAGATAGTGCCTACTCAACTTATCACCCTCTTGGTGAGGTGGTGGGCATGGGATTCGAACCCAAGATTTCGACCTGTGATGTCATCCTAGTTAAGTCTAATGCTTCAACCACTATACCACCACGTTTTTGTAAGTTTTTTCTTACAAAAAAACAACAACAAAAATATACCATTTCCTATAAACGAAAAGTTTATATGCATACCTGTAACGGCTCGTTTGGCACTTCGTGGATGAACTTTGCATGTGAGAGATCTTGTGCAATGAGAATTTTCTTCTTTCACCCATACACCACAATGTACATTCGGATCATATTCACGAGCTAAAAACCATGAAATAATTAGTATAAAAAAGGTAATTATGTAATTAAAAAAAAATTTTTTCCAGGATTTTACATGTAAATTGTTACATAAAATTGTTCATTCAAGCAGGAAATAATTTGATAGAATGATATTTAATCCATGTCATGAGATTTTATCAGATAAATATTAATACAAGAGCTATATAAATGAGCTCAACCACATTTCACAATATATGTACAAATTGGTATTTCTTGTTGTATAATGAAAATATTATATAATTTACCAATTCTGTGAATATTACAGTCTTAATAATGTGGAATGAACTGATTAAAAAATGTGAGGCGTATTTTTCAACAAGACACATAATACTGCTCTATCATTAATTTGGTACACAAGGAATACCATGAATCTGTCAGGCTGGAAAATATGAATGAACGAGAATGCTATTTTTTGCTGTTGTGCATATTTTTTTTAAGGCTCCGTTCCATTAAGGTGTTAATTTGTATAACTTTTAAGGGGAAATTCTCTCTCCCAATTTGAACTAGGTTCTGCCACAAAGTTACTGATTTTGAAATGACCAAAATCTTTTGATATGGAAAATACCTCGGGTGTGAATGACATGGTAGACATGAGTAGAACAATGAATTGGCAAGAGCTTGAAGCCAAAACCTTGTAATATGTAATTCAAAGTGTTAGCACTAATCAGTGTGTCACACTGCAATAGTATATAGTACAGGGGTATGCAAACCTTTAATACAATAGGGCTAGATACAAATAACTGGGGGAAACCGCTGGCCGCACCTTCATTTAACAAAGACTATCTAGTAGTCGCAGGCACAAAAATATTGGTTTTTGATTTTGTTACATGCGTTGCTGTCCGCACATCATTCAAAATTGGCACTTCTCGGCAGGCCGCACAAATTTTTCTTGAGGGCCACATTTGGCCCGCGGGCTGCATTTTGCACACCCCTGGTGTAGTATACTGCAGTTACTTATCTCATAGATGAAAAAACAGATACTTTTCGATGAACATTTGAAATCAATCAGGTTAATTGTATAAACAATACCTTTCAGAGGTAAAATTCTGGCCTTCTCTTTTTTCTTTGTTTTTGAAGGAAGTGTCGTTGGTTTTGCAATACCCTGAGTTATTTTCTGGATTGTAGGTGAATCTTTCTCTCTCACAGGAGTATGCAAAGCCTGCACTTTCGCTCTCGGTGGTGAGGTGGAAGAAGATTCAGAATTACCACTAGGTGGTCGAGTCCGTTTATGCGAAGTTCCTACCCGGACAGAACCCACAGACCCGGTTAACATTGGTACCGACGTTTTCTCAAGCACCACTCTTGGCAATTTTTGTTCATTAATGGGTGACTTTAACCTAACACTATCTGGTGATAAAACAACGTTATCAGAAATATTATCTTGTCTATTCTGATTAGTATGGTGATGATGATGATGTGGATGGACATCGTAACTTCGTTTTGATTTGCTATGGGAGTCTGAAACTGATTTTTCAGTCCTTTTTCGGTCCACACTACCACCATAGATAATTTCATTATCGGATAGTTTTGCACTACCGCTAGTCCTACGATGCCTATGTTTTCCTTCGGATACATGATGCGGACCACCAGTTTTATTGACAACTTGAGGTTCGGGAAGTTCGCTGAGTTGTATCGTACCGCCAATTTTATTTCCTGCTTTCACACTACCAGAAACATGATGTTGCCTTGGTAACTGAGTCACAGATGATTTTTCATGAAATGTTGCGACACGCACTTTGGAACTTTGCTGAGAAGTAACTGATTTTGATGAAATGCTTTCAGAACGATGGTTTTTATTTGCAGGTTCAACAGATCGTTTCTGTTTCTCACTTGATGTTGAAACTTTTTCTGGAAGCGCTTCCAATTTTGAAATATCAGCCAACATATCAGAAGCACTCGAATGACGCAACAAGTTCTTTTGATTCGTACTACTGCGATTGGATTGCTTCGACATATTATGTGGAGGAGATATAAGTCTATGATTTGACTTGTCAATACCATACCTACTCTGCCCTTGCATAGGCTTGACACGATTACTTAAAGATTTCTTACTGATTACTTTGTTTTTGTGTTTTCTCTCTGTGAAAAAAAAATAAAAAAATTGAGAGGAAAAAGTAAGGTCTGATGTTGGAGATACTACATTTGTAAAATGACTAGAATTATACTTGATAAAGCGTATAATCTGGCTAAAAGACTCGATTCCTTGGAATTCATAATTTGTCAACAGCACAGAGAGGGCAAATAATAGAGTAATTAGCGGAGACAATTTTCAATAATTCCTTCAACATATCTGGTTTACCCATATACAAATTATCATTTCGAAAGTATTCAGGTATTCAGTATATAATATTCGCGAAGAATACAGCTATTTTCATTAATTATCATGTTACTAACTAGGACTAGGAGACTAATTTCTTCAACCCACAGGGAAAACAGGGCTAGGCCCGTGACAATAGTGATTCTCTGTAAGACTAAACTGATCAAGTTCAGCAGACGTTATTGCACTATGTATGTTCATAAATTCTTCTATCAGCCAAGTTCATGGCTATGAATTACATAAGATTCATAAGCTTTATCTGTATATAGCATTCTGTTATCCTGAGTCCAATAAAATTTCTAATGGATCTAACTCTTTGACTGCTCAATATATTATAAAAAATACAAACCATAATGTGTATTCATAGACTGCGGTTTGACAAGTTGTCCACAGTGTTCACAAACAATTAAATAAAATCTGTCAGTTCCGGGACGATATCCAAACAATCCCATATCTGAAATAAAAATAATTTTTATATGAGAAAATATAAGTATTATCACAACATGGGTAAGGGAAAATTAGATCATTTGATTAGTGGATAATGGAACATTGTAAATTTAAGTCCCGATAACATAGGCGTCAAAGTTAGAAACAGCAATTATACATACACCAATGATGAAAAAAACATTTGCGTAAAACAAAACATTGACAATAGATATGCTTAGCAATAAAACGAGTAATTGAACATCAACAAACCTGGTCGGCTCAATCGTGCTACTTCAATATCACGTTTAGAAGTGCTTTCAACAGTTGGTTGAGGCTCTAAAGTAATACAATGAGAATCTATTAATTACAAACAGAAGTGGATAAATACATATTATTTATAAAATGAAAACAATTTATTCTACGCAATTCTGAATCAACAAATTGGGAATGACAAAAATATAAACAATTACAAATTTAATATAAACAAAATAATTCAAAATTATTTGCTCAAAATGAAACAAATTCAATAGATGTATACACGAACACAATATATTTTTATTTTTAATATCTCATTTAACAACATTTTTTAATTAAATCAATTAAGAAGGATTGAGGAAGTCTTGAATTCCATGAATTTAAAACTTTGAAGACATCTAGTTAAAAAATTGTTTAAGCTTATAATGCAGGAATCAAAGCAGACTTGCAGCTAATGAATACAAAACAATAATAAAATAGGTAACTTACTCTGATCAGATGATTGAACAGCCGCCAACCAATCTGTCCATTTGTTACCAACGAATTGGTCAAGCTCAGGACCAGTCCTGTCTTCGAAGGCTGCCATTCTGCAACCACTGATGCAAAGTATAATTTAAGATTACATTATAATTGAGGCAATAATACTATTTTCCTGTAAGATCATAAAATATATTATGCACAATTCACAAAAATCAAAAGCACACCCCCAACAATGAATTTGGCGTTCCCACAACCGGTGTTGTTTTGATTGGCAGGTACTCCGTATCGCCACCTAGATAGTAGCACATTCGCCTCTTGTCACCCAGATATGTATATTTTCTCCATTGAGCCATCCATATTCCATGATACCTATCTCTTGATATTAGCATAATTTAATATCACAAAAACCTAATAAATAATTCCAGCTTATTGCTATTTCAGTTTGTGTTGCATCACTGTTCTGTCCTCCGGGAAAATATGGCTCCTATCCAATATGGGGGCGTGGCCATATGCCTGATTTCTGCCACTCATGCATGGGATGCTATAGCTACAGACAATGAGACAAAAATCGAAGCTTTTTCACATAAAAATACACTTTGTTTCTAATCATCTTAAAAACTTTAAAAATAAAAATGAGAAAAAATAATAAGACCTAAAATGCCCGGGCTAATATAATACAATTTATTTTGAATATGTGTCCGTATTTATCATTTTTTATTTACACTGCTCTTGCGTGTGTGTCACCAACATGTGATGTAATATCATGATTAGGGTTGGATTATCCGGATAGCGGTTAACCGGATAACCGATTAACCAAGAGGTATTTTGCTATCTGATAACCGGATATTATTGTAACGGTTAACCGGATAATAGAGCAGTATAAATAATGCATATGCGCATTAGTGATTTTTATATTTTTTGTTGAGTGGCCAATGACATCTCTCAGAGCATATAATATTCACTTATATCCACACCACTCTGCATATTTTAGTCATCCGTGTAATGCTGAAGTGAACTTGACTATAGTCTTACATCACAAAACACGCAGAAAAATGTGATTATTGCGTATTTGCGGTATAGAAGAGCCCGACTTACCTTAAAATAAAAGCATTTCTACTCTAGATATGAAAATAAATGGTAAGCTGCACGAACAAATCCAATTTCCTATTTTTGCTATCTTGAAAATTCATCAAATTTGAGCTATTATTGCAATTCCAATGAGTATAATTTATTTAGTACAATAAATGCAGATATTAATTAGCTTATAGTTATATATCAACATTTTCGGGACAAAAGTCGGGTTCAGTTTCGTCGGTATATAACGCCGATAATTGTTTTATTTCGCCCGGAACTGAAATGGCCGCAGTATGTTATCTATCGTCGTATCTATCTATCGTTAAGAGAGTAGATCTGAAACACACATTTTTGACTGACAATAAGGAATTGAATGCTAACGAAAATACCACGACTCTTGATTTATGAGCCAGTGATAGATAAAACAAGACTCTATTTTAGGCGCTGTTGAATCGCCAAAATTTCGTAATAATCGTATTTACTGAATTTACAACAAGGGTAACTTTTCACGGGATGTAACTTCTTTTCAAATTAAAACTGGCATAATGCCGATGTTAATTCCCCAAATAATAACGCGATGCGGAAGAAAACGATCGGCGATGATAACACAATTAGCCTGTAAAATTCGACCGCCTTTATTAGTGACGTTTTCGAAAATTTCGAAATGAGGAGGAAAGGCTGTTATTACATTTATGGTTTTCATGGAACTTTCACAAACAAATTTGTTTGCAAAATGGTTTATAATATTTCAGAAAAGTTTAATGTGACAGACTCTGTATCGTGTCATGTTTTTCGTTTACTCATTTAGGGTGGTAAGTAAAGTTGTTCAAAAACTGGCGCAGCATTGTTTTGGCTCTGTTAATTTAGTTTAAAAGGTATTCGAATGGAAATAGATTTAAAGTTGTGGCCTAATTAGTACAAACGTGAGAATATTTCAAATTAGAAGAAATTTCTGACCACTTCGGTTTTTTCATAATCATCAATTTGCTTTGTTATTAAAATTTTTGTTCAAATGACTTATATTTTCCTATACACTTCACGGAATTTGTTCCCCCTATATTCTATTTTTTGGATACTTCTCTCACCGAAATAAAATGTTCGAAATGCACGATTTTTTGTGTTCATGATTTCATTTATATGTATGCTCTTGTGGTATATATTAACAAAGTTTATTTCGTCTTGCAAAAAATCACCAAATATTATAGAAAACAAAATACTATACATGACAATATTAAATTTCATTGCAATTGATAGGAAGGTGCGGATGATCAGAAATGATCATTGTGAGTCTGCGACACTAAAATTTAGTACGAGTCAAAATTTAAAAAAAGAGGCTCTAGACACAAAGAGAAACTTTTAAAAAACTTTACAATAAAGTAGAAATAATATAAATCTTTACATATTATTTGAATAGGGAAAATAACTTAGCAGTTGGGGGAAAAAAAATTAGGACACAATATTTTCAAAAAATGTTTCATTTTATTATTCCGCTGTACATCGGTACGACTACTGAGCTTAAATTATTATTTATTGACACGTGCAATATTAAAATGCACAATAATTCATATTCAAGGAAAATAATACATATGTGAGTATTTACAACAGAACTGTGTGGTGGTATTCGTCCAATTCACCGCGAAAATCCTGCGAAATCGGTTCTCTAAAATCAGCAGTAACTATCCGATCAACCGTATATTTAAAATACGGAATACCCGGATATATCCGTTATCCGGATAGTGAAAATTATAGGTATCCGAACTAACCCTAATCATGATGTTCACTTAGCTTAAAGCTTGAAGTCGGATTGAAGTGTATTTCGGTGTGTTTTTCATGTATAATCATGGTACCGCTATTTTAAGTCTCGTGTACCTCAACTGAAATTTTGGCAACTTTCCTAAAATTCTATCTTGAGCGTAATGGTACAAGAAATGACCCCAACGCTCAAGATAGAATTTTAGGAAAGTTGCCAAAATTTCAGTTGAGGTACATACATATAATATCTTATATGATGCGCCGACAGGGATATCTGCAGGCTAGTATATTATATTAGTGTGTTATGTATCACAGATAAAAAAAAAGAAAGCTATTGTTTTAGTTAAAATCTCGAAGTCACATATAAATAGATATTCAGAAATGTAATATTTGACGCAAGCGGACTGAGTTGACGAACATGGAGTAATTTACTATTTCTAATTCATTGCTGAGAGTTTGTTAACGGGTCCCCACTCCCCAGCCATTCAAACCCATGTTTTGGAAAAATTATATTCGTGATTTTAAATTTTAAATTAGGCACCGAAGACTGTTTGTGAATCGGCTGGATTAGAGCAGTGGTTCTCAACCGTTGGTCCGCCGACCGGTGCCGGTCCGCCACATCTTTGCTGCCGGTCCGCCAAATATATTTCAATATTTAATATATTATAAGCAAATTGCAAAATACAAAGTATTGACGGCATGTCCATCAATTTTGTGATTTTTCAACCGATATTTGTGTAACAACCAAATTCGGTGGGAAGTCCTCTGTTCATTTGAACTCTGAACGGCTGGATTGTTCGTTGGGTCTATGACCTCATAACGGCGGTTAACTTCATAATGGAGGAGTTTGATAGCACTGTGTTTTCCAAACTTTTTTTGCAACCTCAATTTTCATGAAATCAAAGAATCTCGGATTCTAGCTTAGCGCGTATCAATTTGAATTTATACTACAGTATAGGAAGACGTGCACTTGTGATATTCACTGTCCGAGTCCAATTCCCCTTGGTTGGCTTTTACATTGGGTACATTGCTGTTTTATTCTTTATATTTAATCTCAGTCTTATTTCGATGGTGGTGCAGAACGTGTTATATTGATGAAATATATATTTTTAAACATAAAATATAATGTAATTGAAACTGATTAGCTATTTCGGGGATTAGACATTGTAGATACTGAGAATTACATTCGTTTTTGAAATGTTTTCAGTTTCAGAACTGGTGCATATAGTAAAGTTGCAAAATTGCGTATGTCCCCAAGTCATAGGCACATTTCTTCCTAAGTCACAGTGCACCATTATGACGTCACTTAACTGCGTCATGCAAATTAACTTAAATCCGGCTACGATCAAAAAATTGAACCATGGCAAATTATTGACTCTCAATGGCATAACAATATCATTAGGAAGTTTTTTACGTTTTTCTCAAAACTGCTAAAAATGACTTACGCAATTTGGTTATTAGCGTGACGATATGAAACGTCTAAAATACGATAATATTGCAATGCGAAAATGTTCACTTTTATGCGGAGGCGATGTGGACAAAACATATAGCCTACTCGTAGATTTTAGACACGTGCGGAAATTAACAAGGCGCTTTCGCAAATGGTCGAAACCTAAGATCAATACTCGGCCAAGACACCTGGCAATAAATGCCTTACTTGTCAAACACCTAAATATGTATACCCAAGCGGCTACACAGGTACATAATAACAAACCAACCAACATAATTTCTTGCAGCCTGGCAAAAAATCTAATCCGCGAACCAGCGATGGGACCACCGGTTCAGCCTGCATTTACTTACGAATGTAAAGATAAGGACTAAGGTCAACTACCATTCGGATGTAATACGACAAAAAATGGGAAAAATCCTATTGGCGCTGTAACACCGTCACTCAATTGCATTTACTAATAGGACTGCCCGCCGACTTGCATAAATTTTACTTTCCAACCCTAGTCACTTGTGTGCGCATGTTTAACAGAAATTAGGCGCCCCTAGAAAATACCCACAGTTTGGGAACCACTGTGATAGCACATAGTACGGTACCTGATTGAGAACTTTGCAGTTCGCGCGTTCCGTAATTTGATAGTAGGCGCAACCTCGTTGGAAAGCCTGTTGCGTATTTCATTGTACTTTTGTAGTAATTGCATTCTTTTAATTATGTTTTGTGTTCATGACATTTTTGGGTAATTTTGAAGGTCAGCCGGTCCGCAAAACTCGTTCGGAAATTTTACCGGTCCGCGAACTGAAAAAGGTTGAGAACCACTGGATTAGAGCATATTAAAAATGCTTTAAAACAGCTATCACTATGACGTAATAAAGTAAGCACGAAAATTTTGAATGTAGAAAAAAAAATTGAAGAAAGTCAAAT